TGTGTGCTCCTGAGGTTTTTATCACTCTGTTTAATACCACTTAGAGTCTGGGTGCTGATAATTACCCGAGCCGGAGGCGAGGGTAATTATCAGCACCCAGACTCTAAGTGGTATTAAACAGAGTGATAAATACCGACGGAGTACATATTTATTCCCATTCATAAATACCTTTTCGGTAAAAAAAAATCATATAATTCGTTCAAAACATCCCGATTTTGTTCAACAAATTCACTTTATGCTTTTTGAATCATCCCTCCTGCAAAATAATGGAGTGTTCAGCTGGCGAGTAAGATGAAAACAACCCTTTTATGGAGATTGACGCGCGCGTATCATGTTCTATGCGATGTCGCGCAGAACGCACCTGGCGCGTTGCGTTTTGAATTTAGAACTATAAAATTCTTACTCCGTGGTAGTGTTGCGCATGCCTACGTGAGGATTGTGAACGTTCAACCAATGAAACGATAAGAGGCACTGGATTTTTAGGAGTCCACATTTTATTGTGACACTGGAAAAGTGTTTAAGACCAGCTAGCCATGTCTTTATCATCCGTTTAATACCGGCCACGTGACGGGCTCTCGACCAATAGGAATGGCTAAACTGTCTGAGGTATTTATGAATAATAATTCAAACCTCCAATCTTTGTTATGAGCTATGATAGACGTGTATAGACGTCTATACAAATCCTGAACACAATCGGAAAATTTTCACTAATTTATTAATTATGCTAATTTCTTTCACAGTAACGCATGGGACCACAAAAAAATGTCAATTTTGAAACTTTAACTTTGTTTGTTAATCGTTATGAAAATTTGCATAAATTTAGTAAAGGTAAATAAAATATAACGTCCATTTTAGATTTGTACAAATTTGAATTCTCTGACCTCTTAAACCTATTCAAAGACACTAAAATCGTCATCATACCTGCTTAAGAAGCTGAGATACAGCTTAATATATGTTGTAGCATACAAAGACACCCATTGACTTTCATAATGGTCACTGTCCCTGTCTAGTTAAGAAATTGTACTGGCCCCACCCTTTACACTTGGGGTACAGGAAATTGTTTATCCATTCGGGCAACTCTGACAAAAATATTGGCCGTCATGCATATATCTTATCACTGAGCATAGGTCTTTATACAAAGACAACCACTCTTCGATGTTGACTTTCATAATGGTCGCTGTCACTTGCTCTACGAAATCGTACTGCCTTACACAACTAATTTTCAACTTCTGACTGTCATCACACTTTCTGAAATAATAAAGTCCTGCTCTTGTTGGCAAAAGTAACAGGCCAAATACGGCATTCTGACGAGGCATAAGTGTTAGCACCTCCTCTGTCAATGCTGTTACATAATTGTCATGAATATACATCCTTGCATTTTTAGCGTTTGATTGCAATGCAACTGCCATGGCAAAGTGCACATGATTAGATGTGGTAATTGTATGAACAAGAATATCTGCTGATTTTTGATGAACTTGTTCTTCTTCCTCTTTGCTGCTGCTTTCTCTTTTCCTCTTAAGATTCCCTCTTGAAGTTGATACACAAGGAGGCTTATAAGTTTCTTCTTCTTCTTCGGAGTCGTCTGGCATGATGTTTTTCGTGACTTTTAATGGGAATGCAGAGTCTTTTTTTTTTTTTTTTTGTATTGTTTTTATTTCCATTTGTCACAAATTAATATAATGCAAATGCAACAGATTATTTACTACAACAATAACTTAACTTACTAGAATAATAATACATGTACAACACTTTAACATAAGTGGTGACAGATGGGGGAACCAGGAAAAAAGCCTAAGCTTATACAGAGCCTGGTCCCGTTAGTGAATAACTTATGAAATAAACAACAATTATAGATATAATTTAAAACTGTGGTCAATAAATTAATTAATTAATTATTTACTTGGCATAATAGTCGAAAAACTGATGGAAATTGAAATTGAAATATGCATGTATTTATTTACAATATAACATTTGATTATAATGGAGTGTGACTTGTTCAAATGCAAATTATGGGTGCACGTCTTATATAATACCGGAAATTAGTAGGTTTTTTAAATATCTTTTGAATTTATGAACAGTCCGAAAGAAGGGTATAGGGGTAAGCTGATTCCAAAGAAGAGGGCCTTGGTGTCTAACTGTTTTCATGAATGATGCGGTCCTAGCCTTGCCAATGTGAATTTTTTGGCTGATCTTGTGTTGTGTAAATGGACATCTAGATTCCTCACAAACATGGACCTGATATTTGTAGGTAGGGTAGTAGTTTGCCTTCGAATTTAAACATTAGGATTCCTAGATGGTATTTGTACAGTTCAAATATATTCAGTGTTTTATATTGTCTAAAAAGGGGCGCAGAGTGTTCTCTGAAACCGGAGTTTGTGATGACTCTCATCAGCTTCTTCTGTACAATTAATAATTTATTTAAATAAGTACTATGGGTATTTCCCCATGCTAGAATTCCATATTGAAGATGGGGTAATGCAAGTGTATTATAAATAGAGTCTTGATAAACATTAACAGCGGCAGCGATCAATGGTACAATTTGCCCATCAAGTCCAGTTGTTTTATTAGCCCTCTGCAAAATCCATTTTGCTCCAGCCTTTCCCAAGGTGTTCTGCATGTTGCTTATTAACATTCCATGAAGTTCATAGTCATGTTGATTCAGTTGGCTGGGTTGATTAGGTCGTTCTTCAGTCCAAGAATAAGTACATGTATAACCATGTCTTTGAAGTTGCAAATTGGAAAATACGCTGACAAAATCTTTCGCTTTCTGTATTTCATCTTCAGTTAAAGCTCTGATATTTACGATCTCTTGTAAAGAATCAGGGAGACCCATCCACCGGTTGTCCGCAGTATACATCATTGAGCAGTTACCATCAACTTCAAACTTTACTTCAAAGTCCTGGATAGTAGTATATGTCATGCTAACCATACACGATTCCTTGTGGTGTTTCAGCAGAGTCTGTAACTGTAAGTAAAAGAATAATATGAAATGGGTTATTCCACATCAAATTGTTAAACAGGTATGGGTATGTAATTACCAAAAGAAATTGAATGACCTTAAGTGCCATAATATCAATAAGGAAAAGCAATACCATAAACCCGTACCATAAACGATGCGATGTGGTCATCATGCCCAGCATACATTCGATGGTGCCTGTATTCCAAGTGTGATTCCGTTACTGAGCGTGATGCATTGATTATGAAAATGAGTAGACTGGATCACGTTTGTAAACACAAGTGCATTTTGAACGATAATAGGGAGTCAGGAACTAGGGTAGCTTTTAAGGGCACAAACCAGTTCAAGCTAGTTCTCGACTCCCTTTTACCGTTCGAAATGCACGCGTGTTTACAAACGTGATCCAGTCTTCTAATTATCATAATCGATCCATCGCGCTCGGTAACAGAATCGCACTCGGGACACGGGGATCATTGAATGTACGCTGGGCATGAAGACCAAATCGCATCACTCAAACACTAACACGAGTCGGAAATTGAACGTGTTCATGATAGCGATGGGAGCTCTCGGAATTGAACAGGAAATTTCACTTCTCATCTGGATCTTAAGTAAACTTCAGTACAACAATCTTAATCATCGATGTCTACATGTACCTCAGGTGGCCATTTTGAGGCTTAAATCTGATGTTTTTGTGGGGCAATGTTGGGTTTCAAGGATCAAGCATGATATTCTTCCCTAACCTATATATTTATGATATCTATTACTTGTTTCTCATTTTGAGGTTTGTGGAGGAGGGTAAAACAGGTTTCCCTCAAATGTAAAGATACGCCATCACCAGCCAGATAGTATATCCAACTGACACCCTGATGCTAGGCCATTACAAGGATCACGCGCACTACAGTCTATTAATCCAACCATAACTATAATTAATAAGTCCTCGAAGTGAAAAGTTAGTGAAAGGCATAATTTGACACCCTACAACAAGTACAAATATATATTGGGAAAGATTTGAAGCCATGAAAAAAGAAACCATATTTTCCTAGTTTTGATCACCAAATCCTGACAAAATTAACCAAAATAAGTCCATAATGTCATGTCTATTTATATATTTGCTGCTGGTGGGGAAAAAGATGTTGCATGGAGGAACTACATGCTGCCACTTGCTACTGGTGGAGAGATGGCACCATGATTAACTGTAACAAACCTAGACTGTCTGGAGATGTCACCATGATGAACTCAGTGTCACAGATATAGACTGGCTACTGTGGCTGAAGAGGTGTCACGATGCATTATGAACTGTCACAGTTTTAGACTGGCTCCTTGGTAAAGATATGTCACCATGGTGAACTCAGTGTCACAGGTCTAGACAGGCTTCCGGGTGAAAAGGTGGTCACCGTTATTAACTGTAACAAGTCTTGACTTGCTTCTGGGTGAAGAGAGATCAATATGATGAACTGTCACAGTTTAAAATTGCTCCTTTTGTGAAGAGTTGTCACCCGGATTAACTAGTCACACATCTAGACTGTCACCTGGATGAACTGTCACAGTTTTAGACTGGCTTTTGGGTAAAGAGACGTTGCCATGGTGAACTCGGTGTCACAGGTCTATACTGGCTACTGGGTGAAGAGATGTCACCATGATGAGGTGTCACAGGTCTATACTGGCTACTGGGTGAAGAGATGTCACCATGATGAACTGTAATTGGTTTAGACTGGCTACTGGGTGAAGAGGTGTCACCGTGATGAACTGCCACAGGTCTAGACTGGCTACTGGGTGAAGAGGTGTCACCGTGATGAACTGTAACTGGTTTAGACTGGCTACTGGGTGAAGAGGTGTCACCGTGATGAACTGTCACTGGTCTAGACTGGCTACTGGGTGAAGAGATATCACCATGATGAACTGTAACTGGTTTAGACTGGCTACTGGGTGAAGAGGTGTCACCGTGATGAACTGTCACAGGTCTAGACTGGCTACTGGGCGGAGAGATGTCACCATGATGAACTGCCACAGGTCTAGACTGGCTACTGGGTGAAGAGATGTCACCATGATGAACTGTCACTGGTCTAGACTGGCTACTGGGTGAAGAGATGTTGTGAAGAAATGCCTGTGTCAAAAAACGAACTAATAAACGGCTTCAAACTCCTTTATTCTGGTTCAGTTGGGTTCGAAATCTATGGAGATACAAACATAATCTAAAAATAAGTAAACATAAACAAATAATTCTAAAAAGCCTCTAACATGTCAAATGACGAGCACCTTTAACAGTAATAAGGAGTAAATTCTCAATCAAGCGCAAGTCTACATGCTAAATAATTATCTGTAATATCAAGTGACTAATCTAATATGAAATCTCAAATCTTCAGTGAAGTAAAAGTTTGTGCAGTAAATTATGCAATAAATCTGGCAATAATAAAAGGAAAACAAAGTCTGAAACTTACACTGTTTTGCGTCCGATAGAAGAAAATCACAGGAATCTTTGGCTATTGATCAATCAGATGTGTTACAGAAGAATATGCAGTCTCTAGGTTCATATAATTCTCCCTATAAATATCTGCAATTCAATACTGGTCTTCACTTATTCTCAACAAATCAAAGGAAAACTATTTACATGCTCTCTTCCTTTGTTCTAAAGTCACATGGAAAATTAGTGCTTGTGATGTGGCAAGAATGGTCTGGTTTCCCGACCACAAGAGATCTATATATAAGAGTATGTGTGGGCCAGGCACCATACTAAAGCAAATAAAACAATAGAGGGCGCTATGCACAAATAATGGTCTAAGATGTTAAAATGTTCTAAGATGCTTTAACAAGAAATCTAAGTTTAACTTTAAATCTTACACTCCGCCCACCAAAAGTCTCAGTACATCATGTCCCGCTTAATCCTCTACATGCTCCCTGGGAACCAAGACTATCAGCCTCTGAACGGCTCGTCGGATGAGAGTGTAGTTGGGTCTTCGGCTCGGATCGGACTTGTCCACGTTCTTGAGCTTCACCTGGACGTTTCTCACATTGCCCGCCTCATCAGGATACACCTCATCTATCAGCCCCATGCGCCAGTTGCCACGAACAGCATTGGAATCTTGGATCAGCACCACGTCTCCCTTCTGCATGTTCCTCTTCTCGTGGTGCCACTTCTGCCTGACGATCAGCGATGGGAAGTAGTCCCTGGTCCACTTGATCCAGAAGGACTTGATGATGTTCTGGATGAACTCAACACGATGGCGGGGATTGTTGGTCTCTCTCCAAGGTCCGCTTGGTACCCTGGCAGTAGCACGTCCTAGCAGCATGTTGTTGGGGCACAGATATGTACCATCTTCGGGATTGGTGGGGTGTCGACCAATGGGCCTCTCATTTACTAGGTTGGCTGCCTCTTAGAAAACGGTCTGCAGCTCGTGAAATGGTAGGATTTGGTCCCCAATGGCGTGATTGATTGCCTTCTTTATACCTTTGATGAGGGTCTCGGTGACTCCGTTTTGCCACGGCGAATCCGCCATCGAGAACTTCCATGTCATGCCATCTGTAATTCCAAACTCCTGCAGGCGGTTCTGATCCCATCCATCCACAGCTAGCTTGAGTTCTCTGGAAGCTGCGGCGAGTTGACTGCCTCCATCGCTGTACATCTCTGCTGGGTAGCCTCTTAGGGATACGAACCTTCTAAGAACTTGTAGGAAGCCGCTTGTGCTGTAATCTACAGCAACATCTACATGGACTGCTCTAGTGGAAAAGCAGTTAAACACGACGCCATATGCCTTGCCCCTAGCCCTCTTGTTCACTTCTCCTCGAATGGTGTAGGGCCCAAAAGGATCCACTCCTACGTAAGTCCACGGTGGGGAAGGCTTCAGTCGCTCCAATGGTAGTTTCCCCATTTGTTGGCCAGCCATGTCTTTCTCGTGTCGTCTACATGGCACGCAGTGATGTCGGATACTCTTTGCCATCTTGTAGAGGTTGACAATCCAGTACCTGGAACGGATCTTCGAAACGGTGGTCTGTACACCAGGGTGGGCTCTGTTGTGCACGTGGGTTGCGTACAGCTTCGAGAATTTGTGATGGTACGGTAGAAGAGGGACTTCTTGTCGATTGTGGCTGAAGTGCACATGCCTCTCGGCACGAGCCCCAACAACCATGACACCATCATCTCTCACCTTGGGACATAGCTTGGCATAAAGCTTGTCGAAGGTTTTCTTGTCGTCCTTCAAAGTTGTCATCAGAGGCTTCTGGCACTCTTTGATCCAGAAAAGCTCTGCCTGCACGATGTCTTCTGCTGTGAGAACCTTTGTTGCTCCTCTCAAATTCCGTCTCTCATATATAGCAAGGACTCTGGCTGTGACCTTTAGGAGCTTGTCATAGCTGCTGTACCTGCTGATATCGATCCTGCTGGCCAAGTTGTCAACTTCGTTGGCGGCGGCAACCATTACTACTTTCGTTCGCTCAGGTAGAGAATTCTCTGAGCAACTTTGCTCGACCGGCCACTTCTCCAAGGGCTGTTGGAGAAATGCTGGCCCCTGCTGCCACACACTGTCAGGACCAATCTCGGAAGGAGTTATGCCTCTTGTGATGAAGTCTGCAACGTTTAATCCTCCTCTTGAGGTTCGGTGGCCTCCTGAATTTCACCAATTCGGGTAGCAGCGAACGTCTTAAATCCATAACTCTGCTTCTGAATCATGGCTCTCACGATCTCACTGTCAACAATATGAAACTCCTTCTCGAACTCCAGTCTCGTCTCCTTCTTGATGAAGCACGCCAGACGTTTATTCAGTACAGCTTCGCTCAGCTCAAGTCTGACGATGCTGGCTATCTCTATTGGGGCGATGCGGGTCTTGCTAGCTACTAGGTTGCAGGCGAAACAACCATCCTTGAGCAACCAGCGAACGTAGGCCACAGTGCCGAAGGCTTGCTCTGAGGCATCGGAGAATACAACCAATATTGGCTTCACCGTGGGCTCAGCGTTATCTGGCTTGATGCAACGACAAAAGGATATCGTGGTAATGTCGCGCAGCTCCTTGAAGAAAGTAAGCCACTCCATTCTCATCTCATTTGGCATGGCCTCGTCCCAATCAAGCTTCAAACCCCACATCTTGCGTAGTAGCATCTTCGCTTTGATAGTGAAAGGTGCCACCAGACCAAGCGGGTCGTATATTCCATTCACTTGACTCAAGCACATCCTCTTAGTCAAAGCAGCTGGAATTTCTGCTGGAATTTGATCGTTTTTCAGGTCAGGCCCTTGTCTCTTCCTATTCTTCTTGGGGGTGAAGTTGATCTTGGTGATGAAGTGGAACACGTCCTTCTTGGGGTTCCATGATACGCCGAGTACCTTTTCGCTGCTCTCTGCGCTGGGCCACTCTTGGTCAGCAGTGTCACTGTCTTCCCCTGAGAACACCCACTTCTTGACGGCAAAGTTTCCGGGCTTGATTAGTCGGTCAATCTCTGTGGCACGAGCTCGGGCCTTGTCTGGTGTCCCCACCGATTCGAGGATGTCATCAACATATACGTTCCTCTCGATCGTTTCAGCAGCTTCGGGGTATTCCCCCTTGCCAAGTTCGGCAGTTTTTTTCAGTGCTACCGTAGCGATTGTAGCAGACGGCCTGTCACCCATGTTGACCACTCTCATGCAGTACGTCTTTAGTTCTAGATTCATCTGCAAGTCTCGCCAGAGGAATCTGTGGCAGTGCTGGTCCTTCATAGTTGTGAAGATGCTGTGGTACATCTTGCGGATGTCTCCCACTAAAGCAACTTCGTTTTCTCTAAAGCGAAGTAGTACACCAAGGAGCGAGTTCATGACGTCGGGTCCCTTCGCCCAGTAATCGTTAAGAATGTGCCCTTTATAGTTGGCACTGCTGTTGAATACGATTCGTACAGGAGTGCTCTTGCTCTCTGGTTTGAGTACCTCATGATGGGATATGTAGTGAACTGGTCCTTCGTATGAGGCCATCTCGTCTCTGGACATTTCACGTGCAACACCTCGATTTAGCATGTCCTTGATCTGTGCATCATAAGTGGCGGCTTTGGTAGGGTCATGGTTGAGTCTCTTTTCGAGTGCCTTCAGTGTTGCAACGGCAACATGTCTATTGTCGGGTAGGTTGGCAGGATCCTTGATCCAGGGGTACTTCGCCTCCCAGTGGGAGCCATGGAACGTCAGATTCTGCTCGATCAGGGCAAGCTCTCTCTCCTCCTTCAAGGTGAAATCCTTGGAACCAATTGGACACTTGCCACATCTGCAGCTACAGCAACGAGGATTGCAGTCAACTCCCATGCCTTCAAGCCGAATGAATTCCTCTAGGCTGCAAGCTGAAACATGATGGATCATGGCAGCTGAAGCGATGACACGTCTCGTCTTCTCAGTGATGGCTGGGTGGGTGCCACCTAGACATTTCCCAAATCTGTTTTCCAGAACGAGTAGATGGTCTACTGCCTTCAGCCTCGTTGGGTGGTACCCTGCATACTCAAACCCAATGAGTAAGTCTACCTGGCCTCGGGGTCGCTCAATCTCCGTGTCGCTTACATCATCGAAAAGACTCGGCACGCGGTGTACATCTATATTCTCTATGTCAGCTGTGATGCGGTCAATCCCATAAGCGAAAATGTTGACCGTGTATCCCTGCCCGTCGACAAGGGGTACTGCATAGCGAAAGCTGTCAATCTCTTCTGTCACTCCGCCCACCTTAGTTATAGACACTCTGGCGGGGGTGCCTCTCAAGCCTGCTGCTTTGGCGGCGGTGTTGGTGACGAGTGAGGATGTCGCGCACCCATCCCACAACACATTCATATGCGTGGGTCCAACCTTTATCTTCATCAGTTGAAGTAGACACGCCTCATTTCTCTTCGAAGAAGCAACAGTGTGGTTGTTCACTGTTGTAGTTGTGACTACATCATTGCTCGCTATCGAGTCATCGTGTAGAGTTGGGTGATGAACCCTTGTGCAGTTCTGAACACTGCACCTCTTCTTCTTTCTGCATTCAGATACTCGGTGACCTCGGGTCAAGCAGGAGAAACATGCGCCCTTTTCCATCACTAGCTGGGTTTTTTCTTGTAGGGACTTCTGCAAGTAGGCACGACACTCTGATGTGTTGTGTTGCCCTGCGTCGTGAAGGAGACATTTTTTGTTGACATTAGGGCTGAGTCAATTCGAATAATTGAATATTCGAATATTCGACCTTCCAATCGATCGAATATTCGGTTATTTGGCCATTCCAAATTCCCTCAAGAGCAAAAATATGCCATACATGTACATGTAGTCAACGTACGTGCGCACGTCAGCATGCCATGCATGATTTCTTCACAGGTAAGTCAGGTATTTGACAACAATCAGTTGTTCTTCAGTCGTCAGTAATTTAAAGATTAACAATAACCAGAGAAGCTGGAGTGAAGGATTCCTTGTTTGCATGGGGGACGTATTAAGCCGTGAACCCCAAACACGGCGGGTGGCGTCAGTTATTGTGACTCTCCGACCCTTAACTCGCAAACAGGAACCGAGTATATCTATTACTGGAAGCTTCTTGAAGTCTACAAAACGGTGTACTTCCTAGTCACAGTATTGAGGATAAAAAAAAATCACTTTTATAATAACTCACACTTTTGTCACCAAGAATTGAGGAAATGATTTTATATCATTTTAAATAAACTTATTCTCAACAACCAAAAACTCCAAGAAAAAAACCTATGATATTGAATGTCTTTATTCAATGAAATATGGGTCTTTGAATTGTAAATGCATATTTAAGTTTATGCAAATAATGGGCGTGGGCGCGGCATACACACGCCCCAGCTTGACACGTGTAAAGCAGTATTTCCTTGTTTGCCCACAGGGGATGTATTATAAGCTGTGTACCCAAAACACGAAGGGTGACATTTCAGCAAAAAAAAAAAAAAATCGCCAGCCGATCTCCGGCGGGCGCATTGTTGGCGGGCTAATTAGGGCACAGGCGCGCTGACCCGGTTCTTTTGTCTGGCTAAGTGCGTGCTCTGGAGATAACTTTCTAACAAATAGGCCACTAAAAGGTTTGGATATTCCAACTTGCAACATTTTGATACATTTTGTCTAGCTGTGGTTTTCTATGCTGGGAATCAGGGGTACGGTGCGGTGAGTTGACCGCTAAGTCTGTCTGGCGAAATAAATGAGAGCTCTTTTGAGTTTGAAATCCTCTCTGTTGTCTGCCCTTTTTCTTGCGTTTTGCTCGACTTGGAGGACATAAGCCAGAGGTTCCCGCTATTATTACTGAAAGTATAATTGCTGAACTAGTTTTTGAAGTGTTTATGTATGTTTTATTTGTGCAAATATTGGGTGCAATTAGCAGACTAACCCAGCGAACAAAGCTGACGGACAGCGAACGAAAATGTGTTCGATAAAAGGGTGCTCTGATCAGTTGAGAGAACTAGATTATTTTGTACATGTACATGTATATATTTACGGAGGCATTGAGGCGAACATCTAACAGCCATAATAAATTTACCCCTAAAAGTAAACAAGAAATTCTTTTAGAAAAATCCCAGAGTCCGTAACGTAAATGAACCAAGGTTTTCAAAACGTTTTAATGTAATGTTGGGGTTCATGACAAGTTTTCTACAACACCGCCACGTGCTGTGAGCAGCATACTGCGTGCAAGGCGATTCCCTATAACCACGTGCATTCGACACGATTGAACAGGCGATGGAAAACTTTGGGGGAATTGGCTTCGCTGTATCAGTGTAATGTACCGCTTCTTGTGCGACCCTGTGCGAGCAGTACGTCCCTTAAAATAAGTACATGAAAACGGAAAATACAAAGGCCCACACAGAAAAAAGAAATCAAGTTCTTTGCATGAGGTTGCAGAGGTCTTCTACATCGATGTTGGCATGCCATTTTCGCGATATCAATAGCCGATCCAGTAAGCCCCTCCCACTGCGCACGTGGGCAAATTAACACGTGCTCCTCTCCAATGCCACGCTGCATTTTCTGCATATGCTGCACAAATGTACATGTAACACCAACGCGCGGGGAAACTTGCCAGGATCGCATCGGGGAAAAACAGCGGCGGTTTTCTTTTGAAAGTAGGGATTGTAAGTAGGACAAAAAAAAAAAAAATACGGACAACGGAAACGTTACTACTCATGCTAGAAGTTTGATATGAAAAGGTGTCAGGAAGTGTTTTGTGAAGACATGAAAGACAAAATGTCTTGTTTATCTTGTCGGAAGCATCAGCGATTGGTGTTGCAGTCTGGCGTTAAAAAAATGGGTTGGCTTTACTGCAAGCACTCCCAAAGCAGAAGTAATATATGTATGGCATTATTGCTTGGCATATACGTGTATACAAGCTACTTTTATGGGGTTTTTTGGCAGCAACTTGAAACTTAACTTTGAGAATACACTTTTGTTGTTAAAAAAAAAAGTTTTTTTCACCTTTTTATTTCATTGCATATCACCACCGAATATTCTTATTCGAAAATAAATATTCGAATATTCGTTTATCGATCGAATAACCGAATATCCGAATATTCGGCACAGCCCTAATCAGTTTGTGTATTTGAAGGATTTGAGATTTGTTAAAAAGATTTAGGAAATTGTACATCTTTTGCAGGGGCACTTTTTAAAACAAAGTGAGTGGACAAGGCAAAGACAGAGTTCAATTCATCACTTTTGGTTTCATAGCTGCTTTCTTATTTACATCAATTGATTTTGTTTGGGTTACATGGACATTACGGCCTGGAATACGCCCAATTGGGATACAGAAACGCATTTTAAACGACTTAATATCCATTGGAAATAGCATTTCAATACGTCCACTTAAAAACTAGGAATTTTTGGGGTTATTTTTGCAAAAATCTCAAAAATCGAGCTGTTGAGTGCTAGTTGTGAATCCTGCCGAACACAGTGGTTTGCATTCTGCGGACGTGCAAGAAACAACATTTGTGTGTATTGGTGCTGTGTGTATTGTGTGACACACACACACACACAACATGTACGATAGGCCTATATTGAAAAGACATGGCTTGAAATACATATGCTTATGCCACAAAATGTTCCCCACATTTGATGTAAACAAGGTTTTTTTCCTTTTCTCAGGAACGATAAGATAATAGGTTGTTTTCCTTTCAACAAGACCTTTGAAATAGGATGAGTAAACAATAACAAAATGTCATGTTTGGGGATTTCAGGCCGTAAATGTCCCTGTAACCCTAAACCCTAGGATATGACAAATATTACAAGTGACAGTTTCAGAACTGTTAAGGATAGAATTATGTAATCCACACTCCATCAAACCACTAGACCATGCATGAAAGATTACCAAGAACTTTAGCTATTTAGAAAAGTAAGCATTTGCTGTAAACGAAAAATGGGAGCTCTCCAGAAAATAAGTAAAGTCCCATTCAGAATTTTCCAAAATATCGGTTTCTCATAATTTTCCACTGAGCTGAAACCTCAACAGGCTTCTTTTGATTTTAAGTCGTGCTAACATTGGAAACGAACGAAAGGAATAAAGAGCAAGTGATCTTACATGTATATGCCTTCAAGTCAAGGATACACTGCTCATCATTGTTGGAATAACTGAGAAATTTCAGTGGTGTACACATTGAAAACCATTGAGACATTGAAACACTGAATCCTTACTCCTCAAAATGCAATTGAATCAGCTCAAAATTTTTTTGTTTACTTTTACCTTCAGGAGTTTCCAATTTTTTTGGCAACTGTGTAGTGGCCCCTCTTTAGTTTTGATAAGATTAAAGTCAAAGGTGTTTTTGTTTATTCCAAAATGACTTTTGTCTGACTAAAGCAGACTTCTCCTCGTTCTCATGACATGTTTTTTTGGGGGGTAATATTGAACAGTTTGGTATTAGTGCCGTGCAAATCAACACAGTTTGGCATGTTCACTGTGATCTTCTATCAGTGCTTTAACCCAAAATTTGTCTCAATAAACAAAAACCCTGGCCTCTATCTAGGGCATACCTGTTGGTTTGTAATATCACTAACTAGTTTGGTAAGTTTAATAACCTAAAAGCAGATTTTTGTTCTTTATAAGGAACAGGGCCCTACACTACACAATCGCCAATTTGTGGGACCAAGTCTAGCTTTGATGGAATGTGGATAGGTATAACACTGACCAAAGCATTACAAACTCACCTGCTACAGTGTTGCTTTCTGTAGTTGGAGGTCCAAAACCATGGAACGTTGGGTGAGCTATCAGTATAGGCAAAATGCAGACAGCTGTTGGTAAAAACAATTAAAAAAAAAAACAAGTAAGAATCTACATTACAACCAGAATTTGTTCAACTTCTAATTATGGTATTATCGCTGGGAGTTTTTCAGAAATGACTGCAGAATTTTACTTGAGGTAATGGGTCATGCACCTCCTTCATTTATCTCATCCTACAACAAATGTCAAGTAAAAAAAGGAATTTTAACATGCATCAATGTGTGGCTCTAAATACGGAGGAGGCCTGTACATATGTCATCCTGACTCGCTGGCTATCTTTAACATTGATCTGTCATAACTCCCAATGTGATTTAGGCATCAGTCCCAGCATCTCACCCTTAACTCTCTCCCATAAATGAAAATTTATTGCAGCCTTACATTGTATTTACATGTATTTACAGGTTAAGCTTCTCAATTTTCCAAATGTAAAAAGCACAACATTTTGATTCCACTTTTTGCCTCAATCGTGGTAAGCAATTGCAATTTATGTAAACAACAAAATACAAGAATTTCTTACCGAATTATGTTTCTGATTTTGAGAGAAAAAAGTCTTAACTAATCACCCTCCTAGTTAGAAAATTTTGGAAACTTTCTTTTGCCTCAATATGAAATTGCATAACGCAACATGATGAAATGATCATCATGATCAAAATTTCTATATAAAGACTTAATGGAGATTAAAAGTTTATCACAATTCAACATCCCCTATTTGACAGCTTTAGTTGGGGAATTTTCCCTTAAAGGAAAAGAAAGCTTCCCTTAACAGGATCACCACCAGGAAGGTAGCTGTCATGATCCCATGTTAGTAGAGAGAGGAAGAAGGGGGGGGGGGCCAGAAATTAGATGGTGCGTGCTAGAGATGGAAAGGGAAGGTAGGGGCGGAGAAAAGAGGAAGCAGGGAGGAGGAAAGGTAGAAATGAAACAGTGCAGTCAAGTGACAAAAGAAAAGAGTAGGGGTGAAGAGGAGAGAAAGAGGAAGCAGGGAAGGTAGGCAGAAATGGAACAGTGCGTGCGAGAGAGCGACAGAAAAAAAAGAGTACAGGTGGATAGGAGGTGGAGAAGAAAGAGGATGAAGGAAAGATAGACATGGTACAGTGCGTGCGAGTGGTGCGTGCGAGTGATGGTAGTAAGAAGAAAGAGGTAGGGGCTGAGGGCAGAGGCGGAGGGCAGAGGCGGAGGGTGAGGGTGGGTAGAGGGAAGGGTGGAGGAATGCACAGTGATGAGCCGGTCAGGAATCACCAGGGAGGAGTAGGGAAAAGTCTCGTCTCAACTATGGCTGCAGTGCAATGACCAGCTCCAGCGTTTCATAGTGAGATGCAACTCAGCAAATTGAAGGACCATATACTCAAGCAAATGGTTACTATTAAAAAGTCACTGTAAGCCAACCACATAGCCAGTTGGCTTGTGGTATAAATCAAGAGTACACGATTGAATAGCCATTTTCCCCTACCCTTTTGTGGGCACGGTTTTCAATTCAATTAAATGGCAGAAGCAGAATCATTTATCGAGACTTCTTGCAGTAAGGGCCCTGTCACACTTCCTATCCTAATTCCTTATGAGTTGCGCATTGACATTTTTTTCATACGCAGTCGTACGCACAATACGCACCTCATTTGCATCTCTATCGTTTTGTGTAAGTTTTATGTACGCAGGCATACGCATGGTACGGCCCAGTACGCTGGATAGTTTTGGGCATGCACAAAACTACGCTGCGTACGCTGTTACGCAGGTCATAAGTTATAAATACGCAGTGCATCGGTCCCACATCGGTCGAGCGCGGTACGAGTACGGTATGTGTTCATGGGGAATAAGCCATTCATACGCGGTAATACGCAGACCTCCTATATTGGACATATACATAGCGTACTTGCAGCGCAGATAGTCAAAGTAATCCAAAAAAAATTGACGTTTTTGATCGTACGTAAAATTGTTGATAAGGACCTCATAAGGAATTGGGATACGCAAAAGTGTGACAGGGGCTTAAGCTAACAAAAATGAAAGTTCAAATTACATGAAAACTACAACTTTTGGGCAAACTTCCTCTTTTGGGGGCAGGACACTCATAATTAGGGTGTGGGGAAATTACAAATTTGCTAAGTAATACAATCTCAATCCAAACCCAAGTCATATTTTTTCCTGATTTTGGCATTAGCAGTAAGCAGTAAATAAAACAGCATATTCCAAATTGCATTTCAATTTGATGTAAGAGTAAGTGCACATTTTTTAGTGAAAAAAAGTAACATTTTTGATAACAAAATACTTCTTGTCTTTGAAATACATTTTGTACGTATCAATTACAGTAGATGCCAAAGTTTGACTGTCTATTCTTGGAATCAAATCCATCACAAACATGGGACACTTGAGGATGGATTGAAGAAAACGTTTGAAGGATTTAAGGAAGGAATACATTTTTTAAATCGATAAATCTCACATCATATTTATATTCTAAGTGACTTCCAGTTGTCAAATAGAGGTTAGCGTATGCCTACATGTACATTATATAGTTCTTGTATAAACATTATTTTTATCATCAATTATGCCTAATGCCTTATCATGACTGTTAAAACAAGCATGTAGAGTTGTCAAGACAAAACAAATGTATCACGGAAGAATTGAAAAAAAAAACACACATTCAAAACTGGGTTTTTTTCCAATAACAGGAGCAAAATAATTGCCAAACCTTAATATTTTCCTATTTTAATCTACTGAATTTACCTGAATCCAACCTTGACTTCACAATTCAAACTCACTGTTCATTTGGACCTCAAAATTATCTATGCATGAGCATGGGCGTCGCCACGATATTTTTCTAGAGGGGGCAAAACATATTTTTCCCAAAAAAATCCTGTATTTCTCAACATTTTCTCGATTTATTAGTTTTAGAGGAGGGCAGTGACATTTTGCCCCCCCCCCAACCCATCAAATTTACACCAATATGACTTCGCGCCTCCTTTTCTAAACTTCTCTCTTTTTTTTCTCTTTTTTCTTCCTCCCCCCCCCCCCCTTTTTTTCCTTTTCCAGGGGGGGGGGGATGGATGGGCAAGCACCCCCCCCCCCTTGCGACGCCCATATGCATGAGCATGCCCCCAAACACCAATGAGTCTATTACATAAATTCACGCTGCATCACTTGTCCAAGTATTAACCCCGTTTGGTTTGACCTTGCTCATGCAATTGTGACATTCAAAACGTTGATTAGTATCCATTTTACAGGACCAGGGTTCAATTATCATGCTCTATATGCCTCGTTGCTACAAAGGGCTCCGTGAAGTCTGTTTGATTTTCTTCGCTGTTGTTTGCACTAGTCATAGTGAATGTCCCAGGCCTTCACATGATTGAATTCCTATGAAGCCGATTCTTGGCTCTGGACTTTGTTGACAGGGGATTGTTTTGGTCATTTGGCCCCTTTCCCTCTGAATTACAATGTATTTGAGCAAACGTTTTTACGATTTTTTTTTTCACACATTTTAACTTACTGTTTACTTTAAAGTTAAAAACCATGTATTTTCTTCTTCATATTTTCTTGCATTTTATTTTGGGAAAGGAATTTTTGCAACGATGCATTGGGGCATTTGTTCTGAGGACTAATACGAGCGCAGAGCACAACATGTCTTACAGTGTGAGGTCCTGGGCACGCTAAAGGGCCCCAGGAAATTTTAGATTCCAGCTGCTCTGCGGTACAGTCTGAGGTAACCAATGCATTATGTAAGGCATGCCCCTATAAGCCTCGGATGTGTAAAATATGTTTTCTAATTTCTGTCTTATAAAAGTTTACTACAAAAAATTCTTAGGCACTCACCAATTTGGAGCTTTTAGTCATCCTGAAAGCCAGAAAAGATGTAATTATGACCTCAGGATGGTGCCTCATCCCTGGCCCTCACAGGCATCCTGAGCTGCAACCTGATGCACGGTTACACGGTTGTGTACAAAGTCTATGGAGAGTCAAGAAAATTATTTAACTATTTCCTAACAAAATTTGAAATGTTTCTCAGTCCCAGATCAAGGGCGGATCCAAACACAATTGTTTTTTTAGTCCCCCAAAATCCAGCTGGATTTTTTGGGACCCACTTTTTGGAGGGCCAAAATATGTTTTGTTCCCCCCAAAAAACGAGGGTCCCCAAAAATCCGGCATGGGGTTCGGGGCCAGCTTAAGGGCCTCAAAAAAATTTTGGATTCTACTGTAGATCGATGCTCTGTGGTGTCATGTGAGGATATTTCTGATATGACCACTTTAACCAAATCTTTTGGAGGAAAGATGGTGGTATACACAGTGCCTGCCTTTATTGCGACGCCATTTTAAAAAAAATGGTTTCGTTAATTTTTTTTTGGGGGGGGGCATATGGCCCCCGTTGGCTCCCCCTGGATCCGCCCTTGACCCAGATTCATGTCTTATCATCATTTTTTGTAATGAATGACTTTCATTGCGTCGATATATGAAGAAAAAAAGTGGCGTCAGGTTGCAACATTTTTTCCACATAAATATCTCTCAGGAAAGATTCCCATATCTTTATACACATATTCCCATACACTTTTCACCCTGTGCACAAACAGTATGAACTGGTCTGAAAATAGTTGTGTTTTCTCAGTATTAAATAGGATATTTTCCCTGTTAAATTTGACTTTTTAGGACATATTATCACTTTCAGACGGCTGATAGGTCACTGAAGGGAAAAATTAGTGATAGCAATATATGGGAATCTTTCCAATTTGTCTCCCAACAGAGGGGTTAAAGTACATTTTTACCACAGCATGGAAAATGGCATTGGAAAAGAGGGCAAACTACGTGTGGCATGATCCCACATGGAGCTATAGCTCCGTGGTAGGACTGTCCAGTACGAATGACACTTTTCTCGCCTATTTTTATTTTTAACGTACCAAGAAAATGATGGTGAAAACTGTCATTTCTCGGACTCCCGCCTTGATCCAGTTATTGTTCTTCTTGAAAACTCGAAGAAGCTGAAAGAGTCTTGCAAATGTCTTCAAGCACAAACAGTCGGCAGCCATTTTCATGCATGTTTTTCAAAATGGCGTCCCGTCGGTTCAGCGCACGAGAGGCCGCACGTGCTCTCCTATCAAAGGGAAAAATTTTCCGCCCACAGCTGAGCCAATCACAGAGCTCAAATCTCCGTGTGGACCAATCAGTGTTTCGCCAAGCCTGGACGCCAAAACAAACATTTGAATAATTTGCATATGCATCGGTTAATTAAAAACGAGTCTTTTTAAAGTTAGGAGAAAATGGTACATGTGGTTTTCCTTTCAATTCATTCTGGGACAACTGTTTAGAATATAGAACCCAGTGAAAATAACAATGCTTTTTGTTTACCGAAAACTTTTAAGTTCAAATTACTTTGTAAGCAGCACTTTGGTTTATTTTAAAGTGTTGTTTGCTTAAGAGAGAATTTGAGAGAATAAATAATATATTGTTTTTGAAATTAGGTTTTATCAGAAACGGGCAGATGTATGCATCCACGCATATCCCCTTGCTCCCCTAAAACACACTAAATCTGGAACGGTATAAATCCACGTCTTATAGGCGAGACAATGGAACTCCACTCTGAAATGAGAAGCCATTTTAATGCAATTTTGGTTTCAAATGTGCTTGGAATGAACCTGAAATGCTGGTGGTTGGACACAGGGACATAATTTGAAGTGGACGAAAAGAGATTCTGCTTGAGAGTTTCTGACGTTCTTTTTTTCCCGAAGGGTGGGGTGATGTTGTGGGGTGGCCAGGTACATTTTAAGTCCCTAACCCCACAGAAGTTTCGGGTTAGGGGCAACCACCAGTCCCTATAATAATATGAAACTTGTTTCAAATCAAAACCTTCATGTTTTGTCACCCAACACTCCACCCCACTAAATATTGCATTTAGTGTCACTATTAACCCCCCCCCCCCCCCGATCTAGACACTTACACTTTAAAAAAATCTTTAGTCCCCCCCCCCTCCCTCCCTCTTTAAGGATCGCAAGTAATTATATCCATATCAAAAACAAACTCAGACGGCCAAATAGAAGTGCATGCAAAATACATTTTAATAGAAAAAAACACTGACTGGTGGTACACATCATTAATAAAGGCAAAGCTTCAAAGTTACTGTTAAAACATCCGAGTACAAACAACATATTTCCATCAATCAAAAACGTTTGATTTTATGTCATATGATTGGACAGATTTATGCAGGCAAGCTTTACACGCTCGATTATAAAAACATCTTGACTGATTTGGCCGATGATACCGATTTACAACCAGAAATGAAGACTTCTTCCATTCAGTACTCTTAAATCTTCTGATAACTTCGGTAGAAAGATCGTGAGATCACTGGTTTTTCCAAAAACGCTTTGAGTAACATGCGATAAATACTGCGCACCTAATTAATGAAGTGATTCAATCTAACAAGAATAGAAATAAAACGTTTCTTAATTAAAAAGACAACAATCAAAACAATCTGGCAAACATGGGTGAGGATACAGATGCAGCAAAACAAAGAAGATTGATACATTTTCAAGTTTACAAAGCAGAACCCCAAACTATATCTGTATTTATGCATGAGGTGCCATTCAGTTGCCTAGCGATGTTGTGTGTTATGTGATACATGCTAGCATAAGTACCTGTATTCTAAGCGCACTGTGATGTCTTCTTAATAAGAATACTGGGGTGAAAGATCCATTATTAGGTTTTGAGTCCTTTTGTTTGATTCAACACATTTAACTTGAATTCTGTGAGGTTAAATATAAAATTGGTCAGAACAAACAATTTGACTCGTTGCCAAAAAAAGAATTGTTGTAGGAAGCTGCTTTTAAATGTGAAGGATCAATGCATAATATTAAGCATTAAAAACAAATAATATGGTAAACTGAAAACTAAAAAAAAGAAAATACAGAAAAAATGAATGGAACGTAATCAGGTAATCTAGTCTCAAATGCTACATGTACAGCACTGCCAAACCCTTTTCATAAAAAAACATGTGTACTGAATATTAAATACATGACTCCTGATTTTCGCACAGCAAATAACGGGATCTCGATTATGCATAAAATATTAGCTGAAAACATTATTAAACAAAAGTCATGCCATGCTTATTAACGCTTATTAACACATTAAAACTCTACCTGTAAAGGCTTTGAAAGATTGAATAAATTCTGAGTAAAATTTGGGAGTTTGCATTATATTGTAACATTTAGCTACACAAAAACTAAAAGAGATAAAAATCATCAAAATGGTGGTTAAGACACTATAATGACAATTGGATGAAAAGAGTCTCAATTTAATATTATCACAAGCTCCAAAAGTTCAGGGGGTGTTCTCTTCTCAATAATATGCAACAATTTAAACAAATTCGGAGGCAATTTGATTTGAATTTTGTTCTCAAAACTCTGCTTAAATTTGCACTGCCTCCCTATACAATCCAACATCTTCTATGTTTGTAATTAAATGGATTGGTACAAGGAAAGTACATAAGAGACGTTTCTGTTGAATCATTTACAGACCATCAATATTTTTATGAGATCAGAAATTGCAAAACCCAATATTGATTTTTCAGACTAGTTTTGAAGGCTAGCTGATTTTTAGAACTTTTGAAGAGACTACAGGACGATGACTTGGCAATCTCCTTCCTCAGTAGCGGAGGGGCCGGTGGTGGTGCGGCCACGTGGACAGGCATGGCAGTATGTGCTGCCCTCTAGTGACTGGTACATGCCACGTGGACACGGGTAGCAATCCTCCAGGTAGTTATACCAGCCTGGCTCGCAGGGAACTGAGTAGAAATTATCAGAGAAGAAACTGCATTGTTCATGGTGATTATTATAAACACGTTCTTAACAGATCCAATACTGACACAGAGAAACATAATTTTTTTAAATTACTCGTTTAAAAAATTACCATTTCTCTTCAGTGATATTCTTAATTCTTCCATCAGAACAGTAATATCAAATTATTTCATCTACAGTCATGTGGTAGCACTTGACAATGGATCTTTAAATTTTCATTTAATTTCATTATTATTTAGCATGGCAGCCACAGGCTGACTGGACCTTTAATTACGATTCAGCTGAATAAAACTCAGCTATAATGAATCCGCAATGCACCATGCAAGGGTGGAAAATCCTGACTGTTCTTAGACTTGGTCAATGTGTTCGTTGATGGTGTCCATGATGGTATCTGGCCACTAACATTTACTTTAGCCATACGCTATGCACGGTTGGGAGTGCAAACAGTGACCTCGTGTGGTTACAATATGCAAATCAGCTGGGGAAGACAGAACATCTTGGGACAACTGATCACGTTGGCTTATCTTTGTCCAACAAGTTTGGAGTCCACAAATCAACTAAACTTGATATAAATCCAGCCACAAAATAAAGCAAAAGATAAGCCAACGCTGTAGTCCCAAAGCGTTTGTTTTCTCCAGCTGATTTGCACATCATAGTCGCATGAGGTCACCGTACAGTGCATAGCGTGCGACTAGTGTTCATGTTTACAGCCAGGTACCATCACGGACACTATGGACGAACCCCTTGAACAAGGCTAAATTGTCCTGAGTTGGTTTGGTGCAGTGGTACTTCTGACTGGTGATCCAGTGACCTGTGCATCGGTAGATTGGTTTGTTCAGTTGTACCCCATCAATACTCATCTTGGGATTTTTGGCAAACCTCTGAATCTGATTATCTCATCAACAATTTGAACAGAGAAACAAGAATGCCACTTACCGCATCGTACGTCCTCTGCCTCCATACGCACTGTACCAGGAGGACAGACAGGCATGCCGTAACTCTTTGTTTTTCCCAAGTCCACGTCGTAAACCTGACTGTCTACGTCGATGGCAAACTGGCCCAATCTAGACTCATTGATCAGGTGACCAGCAGAGTTACGTAAGTCATCGGTTGCCTCTACGGAGTTGTGTTGGTTGAGGACTGGGATGGGTTGTATGGAGAAAGGAGAACAGTTGGTTAAGTCATGACTTGTACATATGTTCTTTTTGCCTCGGAAGTGAAAGTTACACCGCAAAATTTGCTTGGAAAAACCTTGATAACAGCAATCATAGCAAGACGCTAACAGCCCATTAAAGACCATTTAAATTTCATGATTTCTTTTCTTTAAAAACCAACAAACAAATTTCTTTCATCACATGTTGAAGGTAGCAGCAATATCACAGGAAGCAGTGCACCACTGAGCACAATATGTCAGCAGGTCACAGAGCTAGCCATCAAATATTGGATGCAGATTGTAAACTTGAGCCTGGCTATGGGATCAATGCGGGAACAGTAAAAAAAAAATTAGAACCATGCACGCACTTTGGTTTGTGTGCGTATGGCGTGAAGTACGTATGACTACTTTTCATGTGGATGTGCACGAACAAATAAGAGCTCTGCGTGACTGCCAGGTGTATGAGTCCCTCCAAACGCTCTCTCTTTGTGACCATAGAGGGAGTACTTGTATACAGAGTATATACCCTCATGCCAGGGTAAACACTCATGCCAGATCATGTTTTAATTGGCCTGGTTTTCTTGAGAGATATCGATGAGACCATTATCATTTCTCTCTCACCTTCTTCACTGGTCAGGTTCTGTTGATCAGGGATGTCAACATCACGCTCCAGCCTGATGGTGATATGGACCGCTTTGAGGGATCGACGTCGGCGTCTGCGGGCATGATCCCCGGGAACGTGTGGACTGCAGCCACTGATCTGAAGTATAACAAGGAGTTGAAATGAAGTTACGTTCATACAAATGGAAGCATACATGTGCAACAATGCAGACCTGAAAAATGAATGGAAGGTTTGCAGTAACTACATGCATATAATATCTCTTTTGTAATGTCAAAACTATGGTTCTTCTCAGAACCACATGACTCAAAACAGATATTATGATCATGATTTTACATACACAATGTAAACATCACCACTGAATGTCCTCACACTAATAGAGACAAACTAGGTAAGAAAAGAATTGTGAAAAGTACTCCCACTACTAAGGTTTGTGTATTTTAATTGAATTTCAAAATATGTTAATATCCTCAAAAAAAGTATTACAGTAGTCATGGCCCTCCTTTGTTATTGAAGGCCAATTATAGGATTATTTGCACTTCATGCACTTTAGTTTCCTATAATAACACCACTCAAAATAGTTGCAAATCACCTATAGTTCTTCATGTCTTCTACATGACAGTAAGCCAGGCAGAATAATTTTTACAGGGTGTTTAGAGCAAGTGCCATCTTCAATCCAAATAAACTTTTTGATAATAATTTGGTTGGTTACTTTATTGGGATAAATGCAAATGACACCATGTGCCTTTAACAACTAGCTTTTATTATCTTAGTAATCGAGAAAGGTTAATTACCTGCTGTTTAACAGCACATGTGTTATCCTGCACACAGCTGAGGGTCTGTAGGTTCATTCTAACAGCATCACTGATTTGCTGATACGCCAGGCTATCTTTTGTGACGTTGACCCCATCACAGGTCAGGTTATTGCTGTATGCCAAGTTCATCTCCATTGCAAACTTATACGGTGGCTTGTACTCTGCAAGAGACAAATATTATGCGGTTCAAACTGAAAATCTCCTTGTTGGCAAAATAAAAAAAAGTTGGGAAGCTGAAAGTTTGACGATACATAAGTGTATATCTTTTGCTCAGGAAAACAAATACAGGCCAAGCAGGGAACACTAGAGCCATACCAAGCAAATGGGCCTTTCTGTTTGCTGTCCTCATTGACACAAGCAGCTTTTTTAAGTTTCATTTTTTTTACAGCTGAAACTCACCTTATTTAATGTTCGATGTTGTAGATTGTTTCAAATCTATATATTCTTCAAAGGTAGTCAATGTTTGCCACATTAATGTGATTGATCTTACATATACTAAAAACCTGACTGATTGGCAAACAGGAACAGGCAGATGAAGCAGAGGAAGACAACAAAAAAGATGGAGAGATGACATCTCAACGTACATGGGTATGGCTACATACAGAGAGAGAGGAATGATGCATTCACGAGGAGGGTTTGTCAAGCAAAGGGATGAACTCTAGCTGATTATGATGAGGATGATGATGATGATGCTGATGATGACCATGAATGAAAATTTACTGACTTGTACACTTAGGAAAAGCCAATCCTGGGTTGTCGTCAGTCTCATGTGACCACTTGTAGTCGGTAGAGGGACCACACTGGTAGGAGGGTAGAATGGCCCGACTGAATGCATAGCCTTGCCAGCAGGAGATGGTGCAATTCTGCTCCTCACCATCAATTTCACAGTTCAGGTTTCCTCGGAAGGGATTGTTCACATGCCCGCAGGCTGTAAGACAACAGCAAATGGAGAAAAGAACAGAGTAAAGGTCGGCTCACACTCCACGCGAAAGCGAACGCTTACACAAATTTGTGACGTAACGGCAAGTATTCTCAGTGCAAATTTTTAAAAAGTTACACAATTCAATTTTGGCTAATTTCGCAGTGATGTTGACAGATTTCAAATTCGCTTTGCATGTATAATCGCAAAGTACATAACAAGTCTGGTCACAAGTCAATTCACAGGTGCAGACACATGTAACAGCGTATTTGAACGATAACAAAGGAATGTCTTTGTCACAGTTCATTTGAATAGCTTCTGAGTTGACTTTGGATTGGATGACAGGTGACTGATTTGTGATGGACTTGTGTTCCATTTGTGATCCATTACAGGTACCTTGACTAAAGCACTGTACGCTATGTAACTTAAAATGTATAATAATGCACACAAATAGGTGAAGTGACTAGACTGATCTAGACTAGACCAGACCAATCTTGAGTCTGATAGATGAGACCAGGAGATCATTGATGGTGACTGTACTTACTTGGGCAAGGTGCCGTATTGCACTGCTGGGTCTCACTGATTGGACCTACACAGGCGCTGCCACCGTAGGCTGGGCGTGGGTTGGTGCAGGAACGGTGACGGGACTGAGTGCCACCTTCACAGGACTGGCTACACTCCTCCCATTCACTCCACTCACTCCAGCCTCCATCAACTATCAATGGAGAAAAAGACAGTTTAATGATTGCACCTACACAGGTGTTGCCACTGTGACTGGGCGTGGATCCCTCTTGTTTTAACATTGAGTATCAACTGGTCTTAAGAAATCAACAGTTTCAGATCTGAAATTTACTTGTCCCTTTTCAGCTGTAGTTAACTACATATACCAACACTGGCATAATAGTATCTGTTTCCTTTCACTCTGTCACTGTTGTTCACCCTTACACATTAACCAGCACTTCTATTAATAAGATGGAATTTGCGTCAGGTGATGTTAATTCAATATTGGGTTTAAACCAAATATTGAACTTACATCACCTCAATGCAAATTCAATATTAAGAATAGCTTGGTTGTGGTTTTGGTCGCTACATCAGACTCGAACCAGCCAACTGACCCCAGCAAGTTCAGTGGTCAAGTCATCAGGCATCTGCACCAGTAAGCACTGGGTCGTGGGTGTGAGTCCCACCCGGGTAGTATAATTTTTTTTTGAATATAACATGGAACAACATCTGAGTATCCAGTGTTTACAAAAATACATCAGAGATGGGCAAAACCCAATATTCAATTAGCCATTGTATAACACCATATTTCTGTTGTTGTTGATGTAGGTTAGACTGGTGCCTACAGCACTCGTGTGCCATTTGCACCATTAACGTCAGTGTATAGCTCCGATATACTTTGTGTGTATCACTGTATGAATTCCCTCAAAAACCCATTCAACCACACAAGATGGTACAAGGAGAAACAAGCAGGGTATCTATGGAATTACAGAAGCTACTGTTTGTTCCGAGCTGCGGTTTTCATGGGATGAACAACTAAACCATATTTCTCTGGACAGGATGCCAGTTCATCGCAGGTTACTCCCCAGCTAATGCCGGTACACATATTTTGGAGAGAGGTAAGTAAGGATAAAGTGGCTTGCCCAAGGACACAAGGTATGGCCAGCAGCAGGATTCAAACCTCTGACCCACTCGGTGATCATGAGTCACAAACCCAAACCACTTGGCCACACTCGTCTACTGATGGATTAAACAATATCATTAAGTTGTTTCTTTACCCATTCTCAGCTCACAAGCTTCTCCAGAAAACCCAGGCAGGCACTGGCAGCTGAAATTGCCTACTCCATCCACACAGGTTCCCCCGTTGTCACAAGGGCTTGGGCCCGTTCCACAATCATCAATGTTTGTCTGGCAGTGTTGGCCAGTGAAGCCCGGTGGGCATCGGCAGATATAACGATTGATTTCATCAATGCAGGTACTGCCTGCTGCACAGGGGTTGGAGGCACACTCGTCTACCACTGCAGGAAGACAAAGAAAGAAACTTCACATTGAAAAGCTGTAGTGGATAATCTTTGCAAACTCCTTAGAACATGGAAAATCAAACTACATCGTCAGCCAATTCACGCCAGTGTATAATAGTAATGTGTTCTCATTTGGCACAGGAGTGTAGTAAGTAGCACGGTGCCCTCTATAGTTCATACACAATGTCCATTAAACATTTGTTACATCAAATGTCATCAGTCAATTTACTCTGGTACACATAAGCATATATGTTTTTATGAATATATTTCAATATATACAACATAATTTACAACCAAATACAGCTCCTAGCTAAACTGAGCTCAGGACAGATGAAACTCTTACTGTCGCACTGTGATGGTGTCTGAATTTGAATTTCTCCCAGGACGCCCCAGTCGATGAAGTAAGGGCTTGCAACGAGGCTGCCGAGGGCAAGAGAGTCACAGGTCTGAGCGTGTGGCAGAATGGCGGACACCGGCAGTGCTATATCCCACATGTTGACGTTACTCAGGACACCAGTGAAACTTTCCGCCTGGGTACCGTCTAAGAATGAAAACAATGACAATAATTTGAGTTTTTTTTCTAGTGCAGTTGATATATACTCTCTATGTATCTGCTGTTGTGCAGGAAATATTGCATATCACATTTGCCTGCTCAGCTAGCAGCCAAGAACTGTCCAAAGAAGCTGAAATTAATACAATTTTGGCCAGACAAATGCTGCTCATATCAAACACCCTTGATCATTACCCACCGCCATTTTGAAGTTGTCCTAGATTGAATGTCCCTCCACTGTTGATACGGGCACCGGATCTGATGTGATACTGGTTCAGCACCAGATGCCCATCTAGAAACATCTTGAGAATGCCTCCGTGCTCGTCCCAAGACACTGCCAGATGATGCCAATGATTGTCGTTCACAGAGAGAGAGGAAGAAAACTTATATCTATACCATGAAGAAAAGAAAAAGGCAATAAGGATACATAATAACGATAAATGCTTTGCACATTGTGTACTAAAGGCCAATAGCTACCACAAGACTTTAAGGGCTGAACAGGAGTAAATGGGCCCTAAATTTAGGATGAGTGGTGTGTAGGATATAGACTGACTATCTAACAATCGTCGTCCAAGCTTGTGACTGAGTGTTTAAGTCGGGGTCACTTTTCAAAAGTGCTGTTTTGGGGGCATAAGTTCAGCAATATATTTTAGAAAGGTTTTCTTTTGTTTATTTACGGAGCATCACTCAAAAGTCTTCATAAGACCCCGATTAACAAAACTGAACATTACTGGAAATATGAAGAATGAAACTTCTTTTTCATGTACAGTGAATTGTTATTCAGTGACTTGTTACAACACTGGGAAGGGAGGGGGGGGGGGGGGTAGCCAATAATGAGTATAGCTCACCCTTGAATATAGACAACCAATGCCCCAGGATGACTCAAGGCAATCTGTGCATTCTGCAGTGTCTGTCCAGTGTTCTGGGTTGTATAGGTCAGTATATCCCCATCAGATGTGACTGATTGAATCCACATCATGATGGTGAACGCTCTCAGCGCTTCGTAACCGACTTGACGTAGAGTGGTATACTGGCGGGGTTGACCACCTTTGAACACCATGTCAAAACTAGACAGTATGTCTGAGGAGGAAAGTTAAAAAAGATAGGTATAATGTTTGACTGCACTCTCAGTGTTCACGATAAATGATAAATTATGTCAGTGAAGGGCAAAACCTAAAAAGAAAGAAGCAAAATAGTCCAAGAGGTTGAAGAAATCGTTTACAGAATTCTGTCTTTGAATTGGTTTTATTGTTAAAGATACTGAAGACTTAACCCTCACTTTGTTGGAACAATACATATTTGATCACAATTCACAGCCAATTTGTCAATAGGGCCATCTCATGACCCTACACCCCACATCTGGGTACCAAAAATTCAGCACAGCCATTGTGGTAAGCAAAGATTAAATAGCGCATCGTGCAGTAGGCAAGCGTTCGAAGCTGTAATGGATGGCCAATCCTGTGACGAAAATGCGGCGCCAACACGTAGTGCTGAGTTGGCACAATTATGAAAACTGTGCACAGCACAGGTAGTGACCATTATGTCATTTGATAAAGAATTTGTAGTTACTTTACATGAAAATAAGCCCTACTATCTACAAATGCTTGCCTACTGCTATGGTGGCTGATCAAAGGAAAACCAAACGGTTAGGTGGTACATTGACATCATACAATTGGAACCTATGATATTAAACAGACTTGTTCTCAAGCTGACAATTTTTGAACTCTGAAATCTACAAATCCAATAGGATATCTTACTAAGGCTGCAGTAATCGCCCACAAATCCTGCTTTGCATCTACAGTAGTACTGGTTGATGCCGTCGATGCACGCAGCTCCATTCTGACAAAGATTACTCACGCATTCATCCATATCTTGATCACATTCTGTGCCGCTGCAAGTTGTTAAAAAAAAAGAAATCATCAATTTCCTAATAGATCACTAAAAAGATTTGTTGAGAAAAAAAAATTGCAACATCAAAAGCAACATCAAATCAAAATCAAGGGCATTGCATTGTGAGATTATTAGCCCATCAGCTGAAACTCAAAAACCGGCTGTAAAATGAGTTTCGTTCCAGCAACACTGGGTCTACTTTTTAATGCACATATGTGGGGTTCAGCACATCACAAACACTATGTCAAAAGTTCTCCAGCAAATATGCTGCACATTTTTTTTTACACTTCATCAAAGTTTGCCAATGTTATGTACATGTATGTATGCTAAAAACCCACATTTTCCGGTTTGAGGCCTTGCGTTGGCACTTCCAATTTCAAAACTACACACGTACAGCACTATAGCTTGTCACATCCTACACTCTAGAAACTCCTGGGTCAGACTCAGTCTGCTCAGTCCTTTTCCGGGTCAAAAATTGACCCCTTTTGGAGTCATAAATGACCCCTTTGGAGTAAAAAAAGACATGTTTCCTCGGTCATGTTGACTGAAATGTGTATTTTTTTACCCAGAAAAGGACTGAGCAAATTTGGATTCAGATTCTGGGTCAATCTGACCCAGGAGATTTTAGAGTTAAAAAATATCTTTTATGTACATTGGCAATTGGGTCACAAAGAACATGACCTCTTGTTTTCTCATCTGGTAGACATCACCACAGTCCCTCTTCCAAAAGTTTTTTCACTGTAATCTAACTTATTTGGCAGCATACAACAATGCAATTATTTTGATGGTTTACAATGCAGTGGTGGAACCAGCTCATCATTAATGAAAGTGAGGGGGTGCCCAAAATGGAGGTGTCTTTAGAGTAAATAAATACCTGTACATGTAACCAGCAGAAGAAACAGGAAAGCAGACAAGACATGTCCCTTTAAACAAAGCAAGCTAACGAATATTTAAAAAAAAAAAAAAAATGGGTGCTATGCCCCCAACCCTCTGGATCTACTGTGGTGAACCAGGTACGTCACTTAAAGAACCTTCTACTTGTAAGAAAGACCACCTTTTTTTGGAATGAAACAGGCTTTAAATACAATTATAAATCAAAGGACCATCAGATAGAAATCAGAGTCTGGTTTAATCATTTCAAAAATCAACCATTGTACATTTATTTGCTATCTAATCAAAACAGCCATGTTGGTTTGGAGAAAAGCCTTAAGATCAGTCTTTTGTCAAAGAAAATTTCAGCTTTTTATTTATTGATACATTGATTAGCACCGAAAAATGTTTGCATGTATATCAATAAAAAGAAAACAAAACCATAACTCATGCTATTTTGTATGCTTACACATTAAAGAGAGTGATTTGGCTTGTCATGTGTGGCTAGTCTCACTGTTAAAATTCACAGAATTTGCCTTTCTACTGGAACTAATTTTTAATAATTGAAAAGAATTAAAATGAATAAAACCAACACTAATGAACAGAAGGATACAGTTATGTAGTTTTGAAATCTAGAGTTACTCATTATTTTCATTATAATGTCAAATGCTAACTAGTCGTGCTGATACAACTTCAAGTAAATGTTATCACTTCATCAAAGTTCTCATCAAATCTTGTGCAGTAACGGCATAACAACAGGATGGAGCGTATGTCTTGCTTTCTAAGCCACAGTTTCAGTTTTGAATCCTCCTCTGAAGTCCCCAGAGATTCAACCACACCTCCAGCAGATAAAGTAGTGGTGTAGATGATGTCGCATATATCAAAGAAAGAGACCTGTGGATATTCTCTTCTAAGCCGAGATGTCAACTTTCAGTTCTGTAAAAAAAAAAATAGTAAAATATAGACAGGTTTAGTATCTGATGATCAAAAACAATGATTACAAAGGATGTGCTTTAGAAGAAAGAAAACAACTTGTTCAATCTAGAGTTAAATTACTAGAAAGATCATGTACCCGATCGTTTTGCCTTCCACTGTAAATATGTAAACATTGGTAGCTATTGAGAACCAACCTTTTCAGCTTCCCAAGCAATATCAAGAAGTTTTCATTTTGTATATTCTATTAAAGTTTATTTCTGTTTGCACTCTGAATAACAATCAAAACATCTTACCGATATAAAGATCCAAGGCCAGTTCCTTCGGCTTCTAAATCATTTCATGATTTCAACAGTTCAGCAAGCTAGGACATTCTCATGAAACTAAGTTGTTGATCGGGGTTGAACAGTCAGTCGCAGAACATCTCCCTTTTCCTGACGTTCATCCTTTAGGCCTATAAATATATAGAATCAAATAGTAAATTCTATAAAAGCTATTTTTCTATTTTATACAAAGGGAAAGACTACCCTCACACCTCCATAAAAGTATCCTTCAACAATGGAGAAAGAGACTGCACAACATTGCACAACATTTTATCATGGGATTTTGTGCAGTACCCGTTGTACTATGGCATCTTAACGTTAGACATTTATTTTCAGTGCCAGAGGTACTCGGTTTGAATCATGGAACAAAAAAAACAAAAAAAAACTTTTTTACTGGGTTTTTCAAATAAGATCTATCTGTCATTGAAGACATTTTTCTTCATTGACTTAAGAAAATTTTTCTAAAAGGAAAGTAAAGTCCAAGAACCATTCAGTAAACGTACCCAACAGTCCAATGCCGTAGAGAAAGAAAAGGTTTTTTTTATAACCAGGAATCTGTTATCATTTTGAATGGTATCTTTTGCCAAAAAATAAAATTTTCCTATGCATTTTTAGTTGACGCCATCCAAATCGATGCGGGTCTGTGCATTCACGGTGCATCGTGGTGACCACCAGCTTTGTTTTCGCATTGCGTTTTTATCGTTGTGTCACCCCAGTTCCCTCAAAGAAATTAAAACCTAACCTTACCCTTAATTCAAGACAATTAAACCCAAACATGGATTTTTTGGTTCTTTTTGGGGGGCACATAAATACACAATCGCCTTCATTATAATGACATGTAGGCCTACCTCCAACGGAAGTTCTGCTTGTTGTACTGCTGCAGCTTGTCCTTGAATTGAGGTTTTCATCAATCAAAATCCTGGTTGAGCATGTTGAGTTTGTGTGCAGCATAACACTTTGCCCGGAGCTTTTTCGGTGAAGAAATCTGGGTCTCAGCTGAAGTGTCTGGTTTGCGTTTTTTTGCAGCACCGAGACGTTTACTATCTATAAAAACCGCCACGGTGAGATCGGCCGGCCGGACTGCCTTGTTTACATGCGCCGGTAGTGCATGATGTAGTAGTAGTACTGTAACAGTACGATACAGACATAGCAGATCATTTGCCCACACATCGTGGGTATATTCGGCGATGCCATTGTAAAATTCAGCCACTCTTTGGCACAGGAAATGAACTTACTATCACCGGACATCAGATCCTTCGCATTTCCCCCCTCAAATGTGACAGATTATATGAGTGCAAACACTTCTTTTTTGCACCGGTCAATGTTTACGTTGACGCACTTTTGCCAATGGACGCCGCCATGTTTGTTAAATGTCATGACCTGCGACCTCATATCTGGTGTCTAATTGGACAGTTCACGTCACGTGGTACGATGCGTCACACGCGGCGGATTTTTTTAACGTAGGCGCGGTACATTTTTGAACGTCCACAATGGACAAATAGTTCGCTTTTTTGAGTCAAATTATCAAAAAACTGCTGGACGAAATGTGGAGAACTTTTGTAGTATCATTCTCTGGTAGTGTATTTCGGTACAACTGTTAAAAAAATTTAGACCCGCAATTGCTGGAGCGAAACGAACGAATTTTCCAGTCCAGCTGACGGCCTATATACAAAAAGTAAACATTTAAAGTATACGAAAAAAAAATCAATTAAAACAAAACAAGTACCGTGCAATAGAAAACTTCTTCTGATGTTCTGTACTAACCTATAGCCTGGTGGACAGTCACAGGAGTAGGAGTTGAACCCATTGATGCATGTACCATCATGCAGGCAAGGGTTGGGTGTGCAGTTATCAATGGCCACCTCGCAACGCATCCCTGTAAAACCTGCGGAAATGGATTCAAACTGACAGTCACAACCCTGCAATAGAGTGCATGATGCTCAACCATTGATGGTTGACATGTAGGTTAATGCATTTAGTACATCAATCTGATGTTCAAAACCTCATAAGAGGAAAAGAATATGCGTGACCTGAGCACACGTCCACTGTACTGCACTTGTGTGGTAGAAGTGGCTACATTTTACAAACAGTAATGTGAGCCAAATGATGTTTAAAAACACGAGGGCTTGTGATTGATCCTGAAGCTGATACAAATAATCAAATGCTCTTTGCACATGGGCAGAAACATGTGTGCCCCGATCACCAATGCCACATTGTATGTTCAAACCATACGTTTCTTGCATAAATGCATGCATGTTGGGTTTACTCAGACATTTGCTGGTGTAAACAGGGCTGTTATTGGCCAAAACATCATAGAGCGGGGAATTACCCTACACAGCACCTGCACTTCAGTGTATGTACATTGAGATTACTCACTGAAAACTCAACCAAATCACAGAGTGCTCGGGCAGTTTCAGGCACTGCAGTTACTACAGAGTTAGTGATATTATAAGGCCAACTAGCAATGGCATTTTATTCATTCTCATTTTGCTAGTAGCAAGTCATCTACACCAATTGTAGATTGGTTTTTACCTGCTTGGCATTTGCAGTGGCTTGTGCTGTCTGCACTCGGCAGACAGACTGCGTTGTTCAGACACGGCTCAGCTGAGCAGATGTCTAAAACTGTCTGACAAAACTGTCCTGTGTAGCCTGGAGTACAGCGACAGGAATAACGGTTGGCCTGCATCCAAAATTCGATGGATAACATGTCAGTGCTGTGAAATATTCAAGCTCTTTTAGGGAAGATTATGAGTTACAATTAGGAGGAAGTAGTTTGTGGTTTAGAAATTCTGGAGGAAATTAATAAAATAACTGAGGCTCTGGTGGGACTTTTGAGAGAGGTTTTGAGAGTTATTGTGTGCAATACAATACATTCTTTTGTCAGCAGTAATGACACTGATTTGAATTTTGCATCTGAATTGTGGGGAGGTGTAGAAGGCAAGAGTGTGATATAAGCTGAGTGAGTAATGCAAGTTGGAATGATTAAACCTGATGAAACTCTCACCTGATCAATACAGCTTGCTCCATTCAGACACTGATGGTTGGCGCAGTCATCAATATTAGTCTGGCACTCTACTCCTTCAAACCCAGCCTGACACTGACACGCAAACCCAGTAGTAGTTGGGGTGCAAGACCCACCGTGCTTGCAAGGATTTGGCTGGCAGTTACCCAAGTCAATTTGGCACAGTGTACCTTTCTTTCCCTTCTTGCAATCGCAGGTGAACATGTTGATTCCATCGATGCAGGTTGCTTGGTTGTGACAAGGATTACTCAGACATTCATTGATGTTGGTCTCACAGTTCTGACCCGTGAAGCCTGGTAAGCATTGACAGGTGTAGGACTGTAGGCCGTCAATGCAATGACCAGAGTTCAGGCATGGGGTATTGGCGCAATCGTCTTCATTAATCTCACACTGCTCACCGATCCATCCATCTACGCAATCACAGATGAAACCATTCACCATGTCACGACACGTGCCGCCGTTAGCGCATGGATGAGATTGGCATTCATTGATATCAATATCACACCTACGGCCAGTGAAACCGACGTTACACACACATTTGAATGAGTTGATGCCATCCACACATCGACCGTTGCCACAAGCTCCGGCCACGCAATCATTCTTGTTGTTTTCACAGTCCATTCCATTGAAACCATCGGTACAGTCACACCAGTACCCACTGATCTGATCAACGCATGCCCCTCCTTTATGGCAGGGATTGGATGCGCATTCATTGATATCGATCTCGCACAGAGTACCAGTGAAACCTTCCAAGCAGTGACAAGTGAAAGTCTGGTTACCATCTACACATGGAGCCTCGTTTGCACATGGAGAGTTGGCACAGTCATTGATGTTAATCTCACAATGCTCTCCTGTGGGTAAATTATACTATGCAAAGAAATTCATTTTATCGATTAATGAGGTCTATTTACAATTTTTAGCTTCGCTAAAACAAAGAGTAAACCAAAAGCAAGATGGTCACAATCTATCTGAGTATCTCCGTCAAAGTATGGAAAAAGTGGACAATATCCTTTGTTACAAAGTCTCTAACCAAGGAGAAACACACTGCACAAGTACAGGCTGAACTAGTTCGGTTTCAGCTTTCAGATTTCAGGTTTATTTCCATTCTATACGATAATTAAAATAAGTTTCATGGACCTTGTTCAAATAGTATGGGGAGGTCAAAGCTTGTATTGGGTCTGCCCCCTTTACAAAGAATACATAGTTATAAAATTCATGATTAACCAAAGTAGATATTAACAATAAATAGTAGATGTTATTACATTAAAGGGAAGATACCACATTTGCAAACATCAAAAAACGAAATGATAAAATTATCACAAATAGTCATTAAAGCACAAAGATGCTATTTATAGAGATCATTTACAGATAAGGTTTTGACCTTGACGAATAGCGGGGCAGAGTGATCTTTTCAAAACGAGTCACCGAATTCTAGTTCAACCTGTACCAGTTGAACCCCTTGAACTGGTTCAACTAGTTTTTGAACTGGTTCAAACCAGTTAACAAGTTCAAAACCAGTCACTTATTTCCAGTTCAACTAGTACCAGTTGAAACTTGTCCCCAGTGACAGATCTGGACAGATCGCAAGGCCATGGCACCTTACCTGCAAATCCAGCAGGACATAGACAGAGTTGGACCATAGAGGGCGGTGCACAGGCTCCACCATTCAAGCACGTCTCTCCGTCATGGCAGGCATCCACCTGGATCTCACAATCTCTGCCTGACAGACCGGCAGGGCAGGTGCAGTAATAATCCTCTCCTTCATCCTCACATGATGCGTTGTGTTGACAAGGGTTGGGGTTGCAGAGGTCTGTGCGCCCCTCACAGCGCGGTCCTGAAAACCCCAGGGAGGGAGAACAATAGTAAATTATTCAGTGGATGGTAGTTGGCTTAGGGGACAATTAGTGCTGTATCCGAATCGCCAAACCGAACTAAACTTTGGCAAACGTAGCACTTCCGAACTGAACCGAACTGAACCGAATCAACCTGAACTGTTCAGTTCGGATGTTCATAAACACAAGGCATGTTTTTATTTGTACAATCAAAATATCAAAACTTGCACTATATGAAAGGAATAAGACGATACCATTTTGACGTGAAAATGTTGTGGAGATGTGTTTTTGTTAAGATCAAATGGGCAATTTCAGGTACGAAGCTCAACTCTCATTTCAAATTTTGCACTTTGAGCATTTAAAACACACAATTTTTTTTATTCGCACTGTAAAGCCATGGCAATGTGGCATAGCTGGGTTTATCCTGGCATGGGCCTGGGTCCTAAAAAGGGCCTCACGTGAACCGAGCCGATGTTCGGATAAAAACTGCCAAACTGAACCCGAACCAAACCTGAGGGTTCACTTTCAGCACTTTGAACACTGATCAGATGTTTCTTGGGACTTAGTAAAATGAGTCCCAAAATTTAACAGAAATGGTGTATCAGCAAAAATACTGACCTTCAAAGCCATCAGTACAGATACAGTCATATCTGTTGACACCATCGATGCAGGTACCACCGTTAGAGCACGGTCCACTAGCACACTCATTCACATTGATCTTACACTCTGGTCCGGTAAATCCTGACAAGCATTCACACTTGTATCCAGTCTCCTCTGTCAATGTCTCAGTGCAGTTACCGTCATTTTCACATGGATGATAATCACATGGAGTCAAGACCAGTTCACAGTGTCTGCCACCATAGCCGTGGGGACATGCACACTGATATCGATCATCTAAATCTTGGCAGGTTGCACCGTTGCTACAAGGGTTGTTGGCACACATGTCTATGTCAATCTCACAATGATTACCGGAGTAACCTGTGATGCACTGACAGTGATATCCGTTATCAGCATCCACACATGTACCATTACGTTGGCATGGGTTGGATTTACACTCATCTACATTAGTCTCACAGTTATCTCCTATGAAGCCGGCAACACACAGGCATTGATAGTCTCCGTCTACATTAACACATGTTCCATTATGTTGGCAGGGGTGCATCAGACATTCATCAATGTCTTTCTCACACCTGACACCAGTGAAACCAACATCACATGCGCAGGTGAATCCACTGGTCTGACTGCTACATGTACCATCATTCTCACAAGGATCATTCATGCAGAAATCTATCAGGAGAGAGCAATCATCACCTGCAACAACAAAAGAGAAAAAGGACGAAAGTTTGTATTTAACATCATAGTGGAATCTCACAATGTAAGACGTGACCCGCCCCCTTTTTCCCCTAAGAACCGCCCCTCATCCCATTACCTTGATATCCAGCAGCACAGGTGCAGCTGAACCCATTGAGTTCATCCACACAGGTAGCTCCATTGAAGCAAGAATCTTGCTGGCAGTCAATCACATCAGTCTCACAGTGTGACAGAGTACAAACATAAGACATGTCCCGCCCCCTTTTTCCCTAAGAACCGCCCCTCATCCCATTACCTTGATATCCATCAGCGCAGGTGCAGTTGAACCCATTGAGTTCATCCACACAGGTAGCTCCATTGAAGCAAGAATCTTGCTGGCAGTCAATCACATCAGTCTCACAGTGTGACAGATTACAAACATAAGACATGTCCCGCCCCCTTTTTCCCTAAGAACCGCCCCTCATCCCATTACCTTGATATCCATCAACGCAGGTGCAGCTGAACCCATTGAGTTCATCCACACAGGTAGCTCCATTGAAGCAAGAATCTTGCTGGCAGTCCATCACATCAGTCTCACAGTGTGACAGAGTACAAACATAAGACGTGTCCCGCCCCTTTTCCCCCTAAGAACCGCCCCTCATCCCATTACCTTGATATCCAGCAGCACAGGTGCAGCTGAACCCATTGAGTTCATCCACACAGGTAGCTCCATTGAAGCAAGAATCTTGCTGGCAGTCAATCACATCAGTCTCACAGTGTGTGCCAGTCAGACCCGCTGGGCATTCACAGCGGAAGGACTCCAGTTGCTCCACGCAGGTTCCAGCGTTCAGACATGACGTAGCAGTGCAGAAGGTTTGTACTGAGGATGAGACAAGGGCAAAATAGTTAAAACTGGACTCTCTCCAGAGTTTCTGATACTCTCTTGATTCTTGAATCTGTAATACATGCATTTTTCCGTATAAAAATTTTAAGATAAAACAAAACAGCAAAACATCTCTAGTGTAGTAAATTGGATTCATTTAAGTTTCAAAGCTTGCTTTCTGCAGAAGGTTCAAAAATAGACGACAACTTCTTCCCACAATGCAAAGGAGGATTTGCATATCCGATGGTAACTTTTTAAATTGTTATTTACTCAAAGCTTATTCTTTGTTGTTTTGAGTGAAGCAATCAATCAAAACTATTGGTTGCAATTAACCTCCAAATTCAATCCTCAGTATTGTCATAAGCTCAAATCAATCCACCAAAAAAATGCACTTACTGCTACACATGCTCAGATTTGCGGCTCCTTTGACCTGGGTTATATGCCCGGCGGGGCACGAGAGACATGAACTTTGACCTTGCTGGGGCTGGTAACTATGAAGCTGGCACAGGACGCACGGCTGGATCCCAAAAGTGGAGAATGATCCAGCAGGACACATGACTGTGGAAACAAAGTAAACGCGTCACATGTCATATGTTATGTAAAAGGGAGATTTAACTGACTTTTAATTAAAGGCATACGGTATCATTTGCACTGAACTATTATCAAAAAGCATACTTAGAATAAATTTCTAAGATCGTACTGGTACTAAACAACCCTTGAAATGATTCTATCTGGCTGGCTGTCATTTAGAAGAAATCAAGAAATGTAGTCGATTCAATGATCGGTCAAGTGAACGGTTTTTCTACATGGTTTACAGTTTTCTCGCAAAGTGTAATATCCACTGAGCATAAACTTCAACATGTTGAACATTCCACTTTGGATTTTGAGTGGTGTTATTATTGGAAACAAACAAAATGCACAAAAACAAAATATCCTGTATGCCTTTAAAAAGTCAAATTAGTCAAATCAACTACCAAAACATGTGAGTTCTCAAATGTTTCAATTCATATAAACTGTAAGTCAGACCACAAGTCAGACCACAAGAAATGGGATAACCAAAGATAAAGGTACACATTTTGTAAAGTTTAATTGGAATAGGCTGTGAGTTGTGACTGACTTGTGATTGGCCTATGATGACTTGTGACTGACTTGTGATTGGCCTATGATGACTTGTGACTGACTTGTGATTGGACTATGATGACTTGTGACTGACTTGTGATTGGCCTATGATGACTTGTGACTGACTTGTGATTGGCCTATGATGACTTGTGACTGACTTGTGATTGGCCTATGATGACTTGTGACTGACTTGTGATTGGCCTATGATGACTTGTGACTGACTTGTGATTGGCCTATGATGACTTGTGACTGACTTGTGATTGGCCTATGATGACTTGTGACTGACTTGTGGTTGGCCTATGATGACTTGTGACTGACTTGTGATTGGCCTATGATGACTTGTGACTGACTTGTGATTGGCCTATGATGACTTGTGACTGACTTGTGACTGGCCTATGATGACTTGTCATAAATTGAATTCAGATATTCCTGTACGCAATCTACGTAAATCCTGGTAGTCCACTCTCACTTTTTGCTAGTCTAGTCACAGACACCTGTGCTTGAATTTAGCCAGTTGTTATCCTTGTGATTGATAAAATGGAAGATGAAGTCAACAATTTTAATTAGCAATATTTGCAATATGTTTCAAATTGGAATGCTCTCTTTTCTTTCAAAATATCCATTTGTTGCCCTTGATTGGATGACCTGGTCACGACACAAAATAAATGCAAAACAATAGGACGCTACACACATTGTAGATATACATGGTGCCCGGATGTACTGTATTCTCGTAAAGTCTCACAGAGTTTTTTAAGTCAACTTGCATGCAACCCATACCTGCACAGTCCTGTAAGCTTGTGGATCCAATCCTGGCCGTAGACTGACCAACTGGACATTGCTGACAGGAGACTGACCCAGCCTCAGACTGGTAGGATCCTTTCTCACATTGGAAGCACGGCTCAAGTCCGGTGTTGGAATACTGACCGCTGGGACAGAAGCCTGAATCAGGAGGAAGAAACCACAATGAGGCATTATCCATTACAATGCATACGTAACTTTTGACAATTTTTTTTACTCAGTTGATGTAAAATTGAATGCAAGGAATAAAATGCCCGGCATATATTCACTTGTCAGAACAGATGATTGCATTACAGATCAGGAATATAGTCAATGCACTCTGTGCAAGAACAGTAGATGGCGCTTATGGATGATTTTTTTGGGGGGAGGGAGAAGGGGGGAAGAGGGGGAGATGGAGGAGGGGAAGGGAAGGGAGGACGAGGATGGACACTGCGTGTGTGTATCTGAAGGCGGATACTCCCATTTGAAGCATCTTAGAACGGGGGTCAGGCATCATGAGTTATACGTTCACATGGCCGTCCCAGTAGTGTTCAAAATCTCACTTTGCATGAAAACGGTATTTGTGCATGGAGTAGTTAAGTCTGTCACAAGCCAATGTGGCCCATCAGGCCGGCGTTTATCTCCAGTTTCAGTAGCATGAAACGACTGGGAATATTTCTACTCCCCCTGGATGGGATGCTAGTCCATCGCAGGTTACTCCCAGCTAATGCCAGTACCCTTTTATAGTGATTTTGAATTTGAATTTGAAGTTCTGAAGAGGCTAAAAGGTATTTTGGCCATATTTAAGACCTACCCAGTCAGTACTCAGTCAGTCAATCAGTCAGTCAGTCACAATTTGAGGACATTTAGGAAAAGCACTTATTTACAGAAGAACTAACTGGACTTGATTGTACTCACGTAGGCAGTCAGTAAGATTGGTGGAGCCAGCTAGGATGGTGGAGGTTCCTGTGGGACACATCTTGCAGGTGTAATGTGGCTCCTCATCTTCATCTTGATACTGACCGATAGGACAATCCACACAGTCCAGGGTGGCATTGTCAAAGAATTCACCCACTGCACAACTCACTGCAAGGACAGAAGTTAGGTGGGGGGAAATGAAAGATTCTCTTTAACCTGTTCGTCGTTGTACCGCCCCAAAATGAGCTGCATGTTACTCCTCATACCACCCCAAACCACCCCAGCATTCTATGGTTTTATGAATTCACCAGAGAGTAAATACAATGTAATAAGTTGTGTTAATGGATTTAAGACTGTTGAGGAAAAATAATAGTTACACAATGGTAATTGTCTCCCTCAAAGAAAGAAATATAACAATTACAGAATATTTGTAAACATATTATTTTATGAAATGGGAATCTTCCAAAGATTTGAACATGGCATTGCTATGTAAGCAGCAAACACTGTTAAACAAAAATATGAACCAAGCAAGAGAACCAGTCACAAGTGTTGCACAACAATACACTCCCAATTTTGTATGGTAACCTGCAACGTTGTGTACCATTAAATGCAGCTGAGCTTGAACTGTCACATGAATGCAGATTTATCGCAATATGTATCATAGACTAATCCAGTCATCCACATTACTAAGGAGGTGCCACACACACACACACACACACACACGTTGCACACTGTTCTTAATTTCAGGTACGAATGTCTGCACATACATGTACCACCTGTGCAGGAGCATAGTGCTATCTCAGAAACAGCTTCTAACTTTAGTCATCAAACAAGTTTTTAACAGGTACAGAATGTGAGGGCATAATAAAGCTGAGGCATTAAATTAAGACTGACATACCACAGGTCATGCTAAGAGTAGGCAGGTACCCATGTGGACAGGCTGGACCAGGTTCATTGTAATCAAGCTGAGGTTGGGAACCAATCTGAATGGCAGGCACTGAAATGCTCAAGTTACCACTGTCAGCCATGTCTTGTACGCTGTCCACTATCTCATACAGTGCATCATAGCCGTTCCAACTCTCGTCTTCAAATTCATCATCCGACATGGTTGGGTCTGAGGGCAGCAAGTAATTCATGCTGAATGATACGGTGAAGGTGTGCAACATTGTAGACCGTCGACTGCGTTCATGGTCTGTGTTTGGTTTTCGTCTCGGGGTAGGCAACCGGCGCCGTCGGTCACCTCGGCGTTGCGGTGGCAGCTTCCCTTTTGCGCGCATGTCGGCCAGCCACTTCTGAGCATGCTCAGTGAGCTCGTCTGCACCAAGCTCTGGAGAGCTGGCATTCAGATGGTCGAACTCAAATCCAAAGTCCAGCAACGGTTCTTGCCAGATGCCGACGTCACGGCGCTTGCGTGTGGAGGCGCCGCAAGTCACTTCAACATTGTCCACGTTGCACTCAGAAGCATATTTGGTGCATATGATAGCATAGTTAGACCCATTGAGAATTTGGATAAACTGCTCTTTGATCTGGGCTTGTGTGTCAGGGGAAGAACAGTCGCCACTGAAGTAGTGTAGCTCGGAAGGCAACTTCATCGCACCAGGAGAACTCTTTCCTACAAGGAAGGAAAAGCATTTCCTCAGTTAAACAATGATACTTGCACATGGAGTCCTCTCGAGTAGAATGTTGCATTAGTTAGGACACAAAGTCATTGGAAAAGATGAAGGTAACATGTAATTTGCATTCTTCGGCAGCCAATTTATCATTCATGTTCTATAAATTCACCACTGGCTGCCGGTGCACATTTTAGCATTGGAAATTTTCTCTTAACCTGCAGAACTTGAGAATTACAAGCAATAGATGGCAGAAAAAAACATTACACGTTAAGGCAGAGTCAGAGGGCAATGGTTTTGTATAGCTTGGATGGGCATGGATTAAACTTTTAGTTTATTCACTGTTACTCAATTAAAATAACAAAGACAGCCTTTGAGGTACCTACAATGCATAAGGTCTATAGGAAGCCAATCAACGAGAATGCACAAAGCAACCACTTACGTCTACAGTTTTGGAAAGAACCGAGCCAAACTCCTGAAGAGCCACACGAAAGAATCTTGTTGCTACCTCCTCTACGCACATCATAACCTTCTTTACAGAACATAGCACATTGGCGGCCATAGGCCCAATTGTCACATGCCTTGGCGCCATGCCTTGGTGCAGTCAGATCTGGACATGGCACGGCTGTGGAAACAAACAAATTGCTAGGAGAGTCATCAAAGCATGTTACGAACTCACAAAACAGAAGTTGGAGTTGCAGCGTGGCATCTTGCAAACTTTCTGTTGCTGTATTAATAACGAGAGAGAAATCAATTTGGAGAATAAAATAAAGGCAATATTTCCCTAAAAGACTTTATAAAGCAAGCGTCAATAAACAAGAAAATATGTTTTTGTCAGACCAGACTGCACTAGAAAACAACTAAAGACTTTTTAAAAATGGCTAATGTAAAACATGGTTCAGAGAATAGTTTTTACAATATACATGTACAAAAACAAAAGTAGAGCTAAAATTTTACATATTTTTCCATAGATACGGGGATTACAACAATGATAGTTCTTGTTGGGACAAAAGCTGCTGTGAGGATAGCAGTTAGTCTGTCACAAAATAGTGCACCCGGGCCATACAGGAACCTCGAGAGTACAGAAAACAAAAAAATGAATGGGGCGTGATCTAATATGCAAAAATATGCAAATTAGATGCATGCGCATCAGTGTTTGCAAAGCCGGTCTTTGAATGCAAAGCTGTAATACTCGAGTTGCAGGAATACAATATATGGCCGAGTAAACTGTCCACCAACCCACCCACCCACCCACCCACCCACCCACCCACCAACCAACATAAGCAGCTCAAGCCCATGGCGTGTTTCACACCCGTCTTGGGAAAAAATTGAACTCACGTGTGATGGTGAAAGTGAATTGGCACACAGTGGTCTTGCCGTTGTCCAGATTTGTTGCGGTGCATCGGATGATGTGAGTGCCCCATCCAAAGGACGAGCCACTCAGTTGACTGCAACTGATGTGCAATGCATCGCCGGTCAACTCATGGAACACCGGCTAAAAGTAAACCCCAAAAAGTTAGGATGCATCTTTAGGGTTTCAATTTGACTTCACTTAAAATGTATAAATTATCAACAAAACCACACGGGAACTTTACAAGGTGTATTACAATAACTTTTCAAAAGTGGAACAAAGAACTTGAATGGAGCAGGGCTTGGACCTGCGATCTTCGAATGGGATTCAGATTTCTGTTTTGATCCCTGTAATTCTTTTATATGTGTCATGAACAGCTAGCTCACAACTACTGGGTTGTAATGACTAAATAGAATGACCAGTCATCCATAAATTTCATTAAGTGTTACTTAATTTTTTTTTCAACGGGAAAAAGCACAAAATAGAGCCATTTTGAAGTATAAACTCCTCCAATTGAGCAGACACATTTTTCAACGCAACATTTTGGGTCTTCTATATTATACATCTCTGACATAATTCCTACCTCGGGCCAAGAGATCGTAGTGTCAGCTTCAGTGGTTGTTCTATTCCAACTTCCTGGACAAGACTCAAGGACAGGCGACAGGTTGTCTATAGGTCAGGGGAGAAAAACAGCATCATTGGAAATCTGCCATCACTACAGAAGTGGAGAGCTGTTCAATTATTTTCATTTAACAAGTCAGTCGAAACTTTCTGGTAAGAACAATGCTCGAAGGCAATTAAGTCTTCAAATTACAATTACAATTACAATTAGGGATGTATTCGAGTCCATCACAAGTCCCTGCAAGTCCATCACAAGTCCTCCAGTCCCAATTCAACTCACAAGCTATTCTAGTCAACTGAGACAAAGGCATTCCTCTGTTATTGTTCATCAACTGTTACTCATGACTGGACTTGTGACTGGACTCGACTACATCCCCGAGCTGAATGCATCAATATTGGTTCAACTCTTAATTACATTCCCCCCCCCCAGGAAACCTTACTGCACTGTATGAACTGAATGGAAAGCCACTAGAATGCTCCAAATTGACCTGCTCCCTGTGTTACTTCATTACATACACTATCAATTCAGTATGCGCAGATCACTGTTTTTATTCATGCCTTCCGTGAAAATGTGCTAAATCAATATCTTTGTGCTAAGATGCTCCATGACATTGTACATTGTCATATTTGTGCCACTGATGATGCCTTAATAGGGCTCTCTCATGACCCGGCCTACATCCAGATACTGGAAATTCAGCGTCGCCATTGTAGTAGGCAAAGATCGTATAGCACACCCCGCAGCAAGCTTTCAAGCTGTGATGAATGGCTCAAACTGTGAGAAAAATGCAGAGCCAACACCCGGTGCTGGGACGGCACGGTTATGACAGCCGTACACGACACAGGTAGTGACCATCATGCAATTTAATAAAGAATACAAGGTTATTGTTATGTGAAATAAACCCTCCTGTCTAGTTTACAATGCATAAGTTGGTTGCAAACCAAATGCTTGCCTACTGCAATGTTGGCCGATCACGTTGACCCATGATGGTCACGTGTACTTTGACGTCATACACAGTGAACCTATAGTTCAGCAACTGACCTGTAAAATGACACCTGAGCCCGTACCTTGAATGTTAACACTGAAATTGCAAGCCACGCTGTTCCCTCCAGCATCAGTGAAGATGTACGACACGTCGGTGTCCCGAGTGAAATTGTACGGTGAGGTGATGTCCGTTGGGGTCTTAATCACGGTCAGTTGGGCACCTGAATTGTCAGCAGCCATGGGGATATCGAAGGATAGCACAACGCCCAGCATTTGGCCTGACATGGAGCCTGATAGAGAGCCTGGGCAGACACGTAGGGTTGGTGGCACATTGTCTGTCATAGATAAAAGTATCTGTCTAAGAATGATTTCAAAAACACATTGTCTTCTTTCACTATTAATGTATGGCAGACAGAATATAGGCTCATCTTGGCACAGGAGAAAATGAGCTGTTATATCAGATTACAGTATATCTCGCATCGTTTGATTTCCACCTATTTGAGACAATTAATTCTGTACACGATGGTGAAGTCAGATAAATTGCAAGGAGCAGGTAAACTTTGTTGTGAGATTTGATCTGTTATTGACTCCGTGGACAAGCACCCCCTCAACAGCTACAACAGAAGGGATGCGACAGGCACTTGAATACCACTTTGCACCAAGCGACAATCGTGCAAAGAAGCTATGAGATTGTGCCCATGGTACTTTTTGTCATGCAAGTGCAAACCAGTTCAAACATGTACGCAGCATGCTCACCACACTCAAGTCTCATGAGTGGACTCCAGTGATTCGTCATCATTCATGAAAGCTTAAATAGTACACTTGAAAAATGGACTCTCCATGGCAAACTCTTGGGGGCGCACTGCACTGTGAATCGCCCAAATTATTCCTGCATGAAGTCCATTCTTGACTTACCCAAACACTGCACGTTGAGTGTGTACAGGTTCTGGTCCCACGTTCCATTTGACAGACAGGTCAGTCTCTGATGGTCTGCTGGGCCTACCAAGTCAAATCCATAGCGGCAGTAGAATTGACAGACGGTGCCGTTGTATGGATGGATGGGACCACGACAGAAGGATGGATAGACACCCCCACCCAGGGGAATCAGCTGATCAGGTAAGGGTGGACAGCGGGCAACTACAAGAGAAAAAGGCAGCACTCATTATTATTACTAGATTTTGATTGAACAGCACATATAGTGTATGCTTTTATTTACTACACGATCTAACCCCAGACAGTTTGTGAACATCCGCCATTCTTGTTTTGGACCGATGTTGGACAAACAGGAAGACTGTAGATAAATGCAGGATACAATGTTTGTTATGCTACACTTACTTTGGCAGGATGGTCGTGGACCATTCCAGGCCCAGTACATCAGCCCAGTGCTGGCATTCCTGGAGCAGGAAGCAGTGTCAGAGCCCTGTAGCGTGTAGCCATTCTGGCAGCGGACTTGGCAAGTAGATCCGTGGCTGTTGTCACACGCTGCGACAAAGTCGCCATAAAATGGCGGGTTAAGCTGTCTGCACTGGCGAACTGAAATTAATTTGAGATGGGAATAAACAGGTTTAAATGAGCTGCTAATTTATAAGAGTATCACAAGAGGCCAAGCTTATTGGAGCTGCTAAAGTAGAAAATATTGCTTGGAGAGTTAATAATACGATTCTTGAAATTTATGTTTGGAAAGATGAGACCACCTGTAACTTGGACTTCAAAGTCACAGTTTGCCTGGTTCCCTGCCCCGTCGGTAGCCGTACACCTGAGTGAGTGTTCCCCTACTGGCAGCGTTGCTGGTTGTTGGACGTTGCAGGCTATGGAGGGTGTTTCTCCTGAGTTGTCTGTTGCTGTCACGGTCCACGTCACAGTGGCATCAGACGCACCTTGCAGAGTGTATGCGATGAAATCCAACGGGCATGAAGTAAAATGGGGAACCTCGTAATCTGAAATGAAATACAAGAAAAAAATATCATCGCCATTTTAATCCATGTGCAAAAGTTGGCCATGTGCAAAGGTCTTAAATGAGTTAACTTAAGGTACATGCTTGAAAATTAAACGTTAAAATATTGATCATTTATTAAACGCTGAAGTTTGATGGGTGCTTGAGGAAAGTGGTGCTACTATCTAGTACCCTCATTAACAAGAATGTTTGAACTTTCACCAAGAAACAGTAAGCTTGTTTGCAAAATTTTATTTGTGGAGGTTCAAATATACTTCAAAGGCATTCTCCATGAGACAAACTGTCATAATGAAAGAGTTTTCTGAATTCATAAATGTTTTGTGTAATTGTCCAAAAGATTTGGGAGCCGAACGGTGATGTTTGTCATAGCCAAATGGTATATGGATGTTTGTTACAGCATATTTCTACTGTAATAGCAGATTTAAAGTAACAAATTTAACAAAATTCCAGACTTCAAAGTCGAATCCTACCAACGCAAGTGAATGCAGTGCTGTCACGTGACCAATCCCCGCTACCCAGGCAACGGATGAAGTCATAGGCCGGAGGATCCACCCTGTAGCCTGACTGTGAGCATCGCAGGAAACAGTCGTCATTGAAGGTTGGGGAAGTCAGGCAAATAGCTGGAGATATCTCCATACCAGCAGAGGGCACTAGAGCTGAACAATTACGCTCTGTATGGAAATAGAAACAGATATATCACAGACAGTTGTCATTGAAGGTTGGGGAAGTCAGGCAAATAGCTGGAGATATCTCCATACCAGCAGAGGGCACTAGAGCTGGACAACTACGCTCTGTGTGGAAATAGAAACAGATATATCACAGACAGTTGTCATTGAAGGTTGGGGGAGTCAGGCAAATAGCTGGAGATATCTCCATACCAGCAGAGGGCACTAGAGCTGGACAACTACGCTCTGTATGGAAATAGAAACAGATATATCACAGACAGTTGTCATTGAAGGTTGGGGGAGTCAGGCAAATAGCTGGAAATATCTCCATACCAGCAGAGGGCACTAGAGCTGGACAACTATGCTCTGTATGGAAATAGAAACAGATATATCACAGACAGTTGTCATTGAAGGTTGGGGGAGTCAGGCAAATAGCTGGAGATATCTCCATACCAGCAGAGGGCACTAGAGCTGGACAATTACGCTCTGTATGGAAATAGAAACAGATATATCACAGACAGTTGTCATTGAAGGTTGGGGGAGTCAGGCAAATAGCTGGAAATATCTCCATACCAGCAGAGGGCACTAGAGCTGGACAACTATGCTCTGTATGGAAATAGAAACAGATATATCACAGACAGTTGTCATTGAAGGTTGGGGGAGTCAGGCAAATAGCTGGAGATATCTCCATACCAGCAGAGGGCACTAGAGCTGGACAACTACGCTCTGTATGGAAATAGAAACAGATATATCACAGACAGTTGTCATTGAAGGTTGGGGGAGTCAGGCAAATAGCTGGAGATATCTCCATACCAGCAGAGGGCACTAGAGCTGGACAACCACGCTCTGTATGAAAATAGAAACAGATATATTAATATTCATTAACTAGGGTCAGTTTCTTGATGCTTAAGCACACAATCTCCTGCTGACTTACCATTATTCACTTTACAAAAACTTTGATCAGTATAACCACAGCAACTTGTATGTAACCCTCAGATGCCGAATTCATGGTAAATATTGGTAAAACAATTTTAAAAAATGTCCATGCTTGCACTTGTAGATCTTAGTTATGAAATATAATAGCACAACCTTTCTGCAAACCAAGCATTAACAGCAACTTTAAATTTACGCCTTGGGTCATTCTGCTTGAGCTTTTAAAGCACATATGGTTTTTCACCAGCAGTAGAGAGGATTCACATCTCAACGGATACATGAACACAAACATTTATCTATCCGTAACTGTTAGGCCAAAAAAAAAAGTCTCCGGTTTCTGGTATGCGCGCGCGTCACCGTAGCCATGCGCGTCGGCAAAATGAAAAAGTTTTTTTTTCCAATGAAAGATGATGTCTCAAAACCGCCAAACTCACTGGTTTGACTGGAATTCTGCTGCTGCACAATTTTAACGTGTTTTAAGATGGGGTTCTGGTCGAGAATAAGCTTCATGTGGCCTCTCTGGACTCCCATATATTTTCACTAAGTGAAACCGGAGACTTTTTTTTTGGCCTTATCGAGCATTGCGTTGTTTTGCATGATGTAGACGTACCCATCTGTTTACTTATTGGAACTGTTTCCAACAAGCAAGTGTTGCTTTCAAGTCCATCACAAGTCCCTCCAAGTCCATCACGAGTCCTTCAGTCTCAAGTCAAGTCACAAGCTACACAAATGAACTGTCACAAAAGCATTCATTTGTCATTGTTTGTCCAGTTTCGGCGACTGTATTTTATTTTATGAAAGGACTTGTGAAAGGACTCGTAATGGACTCGAATACGACACTGCCAATAAAAGCAGTAATCCTAAAAGGGCAGCCTTTGATGAAAATCTCATATCCGTGACTTATCCTGCTTTCAAACACAGACAAATGGCATATATGTGATCAGCGATTCGTACTCTTACAATCAATTCACACACAATTACTTAACTCTGAAAGAGGGTGAAAATTGGCAATGTACTATGCAATTCAAACTGATGCGTGAGCACGTGTTATATCCGTGCCGTCTACATGCATAGCAGACAGACAGTCACAATGGCAATTCTGTCTTACTGCAACAAAGTGTTGACATTATCACTTCACATACCTTCACAGGAAAAGTCAACTACATCCCACGTGCTATTTGCTAGACACATAGACTGCTGGGAACCAACTCCACCGTAGCCATAAGGACAGTACCAGCTGCAAGTGGTGCCCAGCAATTCAGTTGCTGGTGGGTACTGAAAGCAACCTGAGCGTATAGCAGGGAGCCGGTCAGCCAGGGCCGGGCAAGTGGCAGCTGAAAAAAAACAATCAAAACAAATTGCACAAAGATGAAAACCTGAAACCTGAAATGTGTGGCACCTGCTTTCCTTCTTTAAAAAAAGATTAACTAATTATTGCTATCCTTACTTCTTCTTTAACAAATCCACATGCTGATTGTCGTGTGGTTTTGCTATAAGTTTCCTGACATGATTTACAAGTTTTTCTTCCCTCTTGTTGAAGCATACATCACATCTACTGAGGATTTAATGCATGCATCTCTAATGAGAGATAGCTCAGGATTTTCGCAATAGTCACTGCTGGTGTGCTCATGAGGCAGATATGTGATCATTACGGTACAACAACTGAAACAGAACTAAGACAAGCTGATGAATGACTTTTCTCATCAGGTTCAGAAATTTGGCAAAGTGATGATTATATGCCCACAACAAAATTGTCATTTACTGTCAAATATTTTAGGCATGCCGAAAATGCAGACATTCCTCTATAGCGACCACAATCTCCTGTATGCAATCAGACGCATTTATTACATGTCATCATATAATGACCTTCAAGTCAGACTTTTTAAGAATTGAGATATCTGTTTATCGTAATCTGCAGAACAAGAGCTTTCAAATGGTATACAACATTAAGGGGTACTGAGTATGGTAACACAAATATAGACAATACTTCAGGTTGTAAAACTGATTCTTGAGAAAGTGGCATTTAAAAATCCAGCAGTTGTCTTACAATGAATGCAGAGTCAACAACTAAAACAGGATGAAAAAGTTACGAAGATCGTTGCTCGAAGGGAAACAAAATAAACTGGAGACAAGACTTACAGATTGGGGTTCACCTGAAAAACAAACAAAAAACCTACCACCCTTTCAATGTTTGGCTTTGCCCCGCTGTACTGCAAAATGGCAATTTCAAGCTTTAAGCTGATGTGGCCACATTTGGATGCATGATCTGAATAACACAATGACTTATGATGAGCTGCTTACGCAAACATCTTGGGCTTGTCCCAGACCACTCCACTCGCAAGTCCTTGCCACTCAGCTGGTTGACGCCATTCATCTGATCACTGTCGATAACTCTCTCACAGGTCCTATTACTAGGACCATCCAGGTCATAGCCTGCATTGCAGGCAAAGCTGCAATTGGCTCCGTAGATGTTACTGGGGCACTGGACCAAGGAACCACTGGCGGGGGCTTGTAGAGGGCGACAGCGCAGAACTGTGAAGGGCAAGGGAACATTTCATTGCTTTTTCTTCTGTGTGTAAATGTCCATATTTTTCTGTTCCTTGTCCTTTTTTTTTTTTTTAATGCTTGTATTTGTAATGATGCTCAGCATGACTTTCCAATTGGGCGGCACCCTACCGGTGTGCGCACATGGAGCAAATATTTTTCATTGCAGTCTTTCAAGATTGTACAATTGTTCACATATTTGGTAAGGGCAGTTCATATACATAGGCAGTAGCGGATGTGAAGAAAATCTGACATAGACACATTCACTGCGAATTTTGTCAGACTTGATATTTGTTACCCTTTTGAAAACTTGCAGTGTAAAAACTTGTGACATATCAAAAATTTACATTCGTGTTCACTTTTGAATGAGCATCTTATACCTTGTACAGTGACGTACACATCACAGCGTCTGCTGTTCATGGCAGCATCTGTAGCAGTGTATATGAGACGGGTTGTACCCTCAGGGAATGACGAACCTGAACCAAGACTTGGGTCTTGACTGTAAACAAAGGAATATTTGTACCATTTTGTTTAAATTGACTTTTGCCCTTCGCTAATATATATTTTACATAAACACTGTATACTCAGTGTTGTCTAGGGGCTAGCGAGAAAAGTTCACAAGCTTACCCGAATGGGACTAAAACTCACAACCTCCTGCGTACTAGATTACCGAGCTAGCCAGGGTCGGCTGGCCACGTCTAATCCGATATAGCAGCATGTACCGCAACAGAACTATTCATACGATGGAACTTGTGTCAAGCAGATGTAACTTTACACCTCCCCTATGCAAATTCCATATCACACTGTAGCTGTGTCTGCATTGGACTCATTGTTTTTAAAGATTTAACCGAGATGAGGATGAACACCAAATTGGTTCAATCTTACCAATGTCCGCACTTGGTATACCTTTTACCACAAATGTTGGCTAAAATGCAATCTGAGCAAAAGCATGGAAAGTAACCACTGGACTTTGGGAAAATAACCGAGAGGAAACTTTTGTTGGCTGTTTGCTATGAACCTAAAATCATAAAAATTGTCATCACCTCGGTGAGCTTTATTGTCGTGCTTTTTTAATACAGACCTGCTCACAGAGACATCGCCAGAGTTATCCGTGGCCTGTGGCGTTTGGAAAGTGACAATAGCTTGTCTCATGTTGGCCGGTGCAATTTGATTGACATACACCGGGCAGTTGTCCGTGAAGACCGGTGGCTGATAGTCTGGCCAAAAAAATAAACAAATACATAAAATAATATTTAAAATCGGCTTCTGGTGTATAACGTAATAATGTTATAAATGTGAGCATAGTGATCAGCACATATGACAACGAACTTGATTCTTGTGAATGATGTGACTTGGACTCTTTCCATCAGCCTTCTTAAGTAAAAATGCAGCAGTGAGTAACACGCAGGGTGGTTAGGGGCGGTTACAGGAACAAATGGGTTACACACTGAGTTTACCTGAGCAAGAGACTGGGCGTGCATCGCTCCACACTCCTCGGTCAGTACACACCTTACTGAATGGACCACTGAGAGAGAATCCATCATCACATGTGAATGTACACAGAGTGTTGTAAGGAAGTTCAGCCTGGGAAGAGCAGTCACTTGGTTGCACTGTGCCGTGAGTCAGATTCCGTAAGCCATTACATACAACAGCTGCAATGAAGAATAATATTGGATCACTTGTACTTAGATGTGATACAAAAAGAGACACACTCTACACACTATTATCTGGTTTATCTGTGGCATCTGAGAATATGATTGGTCAACAGTAAAACTTACGGAAAAAGCCATAACAGTGAAAAGCATGATCAAATACTACCACAAACCTACAACATACCATGAGCAATCTATGAAACATATAGTTTACATGCATAAAGTGCCCCTTTCATTGCAATAAGAAGAAAACAAACAAATGCCGACCACACTTCTAAATAACTAATCAAAGCTTTTACAAAGCTGGCAAATAGATAAATCCAGCAACAACCATTTTCTAAGGTGGCACCGGGCTCCTTTGACCAATAGGAACGTTACCAAAATACACACGCACCTTGTCTTCAACACGTGCAGTAATATAGTGACTAACAAATTGACTAAAAACAAGCTCGTTTAGTCTTGCCCTACCTTCACAAACTGGTTGCACTCCGGTCCACGTCCCATCGGCCAGACAAGTCCTCATGGTTTCACTCTGGGATGTATGGTTGCTACGGTAACCAGGATTACACACAAAGGCGCAGGATGACTGGTAATCCACCTCCTGGCCACTGCAGCCTGATATGTAGCCATTAGGGATGGCTGGTACTTGGCATGTGTTGGCTAGTGAAAAAAATCAGTAATCAGAAAATTGATTTCAACTTAAGATAAGGCTCGTTCAAAATCTTCCAATGACCATTAATATTTCTGATACCAATAAATGTAATCAATAACTAGTCTCCAGATATATGACCCGTTTTGATGGTTTGTTGTTCCTTATAAAAAAGACAAAAATAAAAACAGAAATAACTAACTTCTCTCATCAAAATATGTTCACAGAGTATCAATCATCTTCAAGCAAACTTGAATCCTCTATCTTGATCCATTGCAAAAAAAGTGTCATGTTATACCTAATACCATGGTCCATATCGTACTCTGCGCATCGTGCTATTCTATGATGCATACAGTAATCCTACGGCACGCACATTGAAACGTTCGTGTACAGTATGTGTTCTCTGTCTTAACTGTGCGTGAAGTTTGCTTAAAGATTAATTTGTGATCCCACTCGAGTTTGTGGAACACAGACATTGTAGTGTGTCTGTGTCTCATGCCACTTGGCTTTCGACCTTGTAGCACTTTGGACACATTTTTCCGTGTTTCATGAACGCGAGTGGAATAACTAACCCAAGAGCGTCTGTGTCCCACATACCATGAGACTGAAGGACGAGTGTTATGTAGGACAAAAGACACACTACAAAACACAGTTGCATACAAAGAACAAGATCAATAGTCTTGAGTATACTACTTACGGACACACTGTACCGATGGGCTCTGCCAATAACCCACTGTGGAGGACGCTATGTTCTTGACGCACTCAGCTGTAACTTGTTGGCTGCCATCTGACAGTGTGTAGCCTTCCTCACAGCTGATGTTGCACACTGAACCAAACACAGCAGCATTATCACATTCCCCTTGGCCCGACACCAGACTGGTCTCACTGTTCTGGGGACCGTACAACGGCGGGCACCTGGCGACTGTTGCATGAACAGGAAAAAATGATATAAACTGGGGTAAAATGGGATAAACAGGGTTAATGGGATGCACACTGAGCCAAACACGGCAGCATTATCACATTCCCCTTGGCCCGACACCAGACTGGTCTCACTGTTCTGGGGACCGTACAACGGCGGGCACCTGGTGACTGTTGCATGAACAGGAAAAAATGATATAAACTGGGGTAAAATGGGATAAACAGGGTTAATGGGATGCACACTGAGCCAAACACGGCAGCATTATCACATTCCCCCTGGCCCGACACCAGACTGGTCTCACTGTTCTGGGGACCGTACAACGGCGGGCACCTGGTGATTGTTGCATGAATGGGATAAAATGGGATAAACAGGGTTAATGGGATGCATACTGAGCCAAACACGGCAGCATTATCACATTCCCCTTGGCCTGACACCAGACTGGTCTCACTGTTCTGAGGACCGTACAACGGTGGGCACCTGGTGACTGTTGCATGAATGGGGTGAAATGGGGTAAACTGGGGTAAATTGGGTAAATGGGCTGCACACTGAGCAATACACAGCAGCATCTAAATTCTGGTGACAGTGGCATGAATGGGGTACTTTTAGGTAAAATGCGGTAAACGTGGAGTTGGATGTTCATGTCACAGTGTCATCGTCAGGACCATCATCAGTCCTCAAAAGTCTGTCACAAGTCCACTGCAAGTCAATCACAAGTCTCAAGCCCAAGCCAAGTCACAAATTATTCGAAGGACATAGAAACAAAAACATTCCTTTTCAATGTTCATCCAACGTGACTTCATTGTGACAGGACTTGTGATGGACTTTTTAGGGAATCAACTGCAAAACTGCACACAATCAGTTACTGGGTTAGCGGTCAGTCAAACTACCAAAAATGTATATGACCAAAAATAACTCAATGAGATTATATAATTGTTACCTAAGACATTCACTCGGAGATCACATGTAGCTGAATTGAAACTGGCATCCTCTGCAAAGTAGTTGAAATGATATGTCCCTTCATAGAATACAGAGCTCCTATTTGCTGGTAGTGGCTGGCCGTTGATGCTAACCAGTGTCGCGATGATGTTACCACTGGCGTCCATGGCCTAAATGATTCACAAAGGTATACATCATTATTACATCTTATACATATATGAGCCGAACATGCATCTTTCATTGGTCAATGTTCATACAAGGAAGTTGAGGTGGCTATCCCCTATTAAACAATGCATGTGCTATAGCGTCCTACCGGTCAGTAGAACTTGGGCAGTAGTACATGAAGATAAGCTCCTGGACCCCTCACTATGCGATAGCTACTGCAAATCAAGTTGGTACCACACTAAAGCCTGAACAACAAATGCTTTATTATACCCACTACAGCAGTTTTTGGTCAATATGAAGACTTCACTTCCAAAACGCTAATATTCATTTGAAAAAAAAGTGAAAAAGGTGCACAGCTATGAAAACCTGCAGAGCATACACAGCACATAACAGCTGTTTCTAAACTACATTTTTTTGCATAATTGTATTCTCAAAATTGTGTTGAAATAATATAACAGTTGTTGAACTGACTCTGGACAACCAGAAGAGTGCGTGATTCTAAAAAATAAAAAAATGACATTTATCACTTTTTGCAAACAACTCTTCATATGTGTGAGGTGTAACAAAACAAGTACAATATGTTTTGTTTGTCAGTAAGTGGTGCAAAATTTCTGGACACTTGGTGTTGGCTGATTTGGAATTTCTCAACCCGTTTCGCAGCGGGAGGTATACAGTCAAATTAACCGACACCATACTACGTAGTCACCTATCACCAAAAAAGCTGTTTGTACCAAAAGAAAATAAAGTTACTTCCTTACTGTAATTGGTTCCCAATCATAACCCACGACGGCAAAACTGGTCCCTTGTCCTGCAAACAGCGTGATGTCAGGTGGGCACATCAAAGTGGGTGGAGTTATATCTGTTGATATGGAAAATAGAGAAACATGAAATGAATTATACCACTGCAAAGTGCTCACTGCGTGGATTGACCTGAAACATACAAATCAACCAAATTAGAGGTTCTTATGCTTCAGTCTCAATCAACACCTTTTTCAAAGGCCAACTAATTTTGTTGATCTTAATTATCAAAAATCAAATGACGTTCGTTGAATAACAAGATAATGAACAAAATACACACTGTTTGAGCAAGACAGAAATGCCCCCAAAATAAAAGGCTACTGTTCCTGAGTTATTTTTAAAAGCAAAATGTATGAGTGGAATCAGGGAAATCCAATAAGAAACAACCCAATTCTGATGGAAACAAGTTTGTCACGAGTAGTGGAGAACTATTATAAGGAAACAAAAGGAGGGAATTTCTGGCTATTTGGGGTAAATAAGCCCAAAACTTTGTGGAGTGTGTCTAGTATAGACATGGTCAAATCCATGACATGCCATGCACCATTCGCCAACAATCATTGAAAAAATGGGGATCACTGCCTTTAATGGTAACGGCTCATTTGCACAGTGTGTCAATCGACTTGAGGATAGATGACTTGTAGTTGAAGTATGATGATTTGCGAGGACTCAACTGCAAGTTGATGTCACATCAATTGAGGAAGAGAGACAATTTGAAGTTACAATTGTACACATTCTATGAAAGAAAAGCTCACAGTTAGTGTTCCAGAACACAGTCAGATGACTAGATGAGATGGACACGTACCTGTGCATTGTAGAGGGACACCATCCCATTGGCCGTTCAGCTGACATGTACGACTCGCTGAGCCGCTACTGGTGAATCCCAGGTCACATGACACCACACAGACGGTGCCATAACTCTGCATCTGGTCTGTGTCATTTACCGCCACCCCATTGAGTGTGCAGGACAAAGGCAGGTAGCCTGGTGTACCAGGCATCTCCAGTGGATCACATTGGACCACTGTGTGCAAACCAAGCAAAATTGGATGATTGAGGCATGATGTGAAGTCTGGTTACTAGGCTAAGGGGCAGTTTATACTCTAAGCACAAGCAAAGCATATTAAACATCAGGCAAGGACCATTAATCCACTAGTGGTTGATTTGTGATTAACTTGCTTGCGCACTAATAGCATCATGCCAACATCTCTAGTCAAATGATGGCCAAAATGTCATCCCGAACGTCTTGATGTTGGCTCCCTGTTATGTGCTATGATGCACATATCTACTGGTAACCAGTAATGTAACCATGCCCTGTGGTCCGGTTCCAAATCAGTGGTTGACTGGAATAGTCCAACCATCCTGCATTCCAGTGAATAGAGTTGAACTATGCAGTGGCGCACCCAGGATTTGGTTTGGGGGGGGGGGGCTAAAAAAAGTTAAATATTTTCGAAATTTTTGGCCGCAGAAAAAGATTTTTTTTTTAGGGGACGAACCTCTTGGGGGGGGGGGGGGGGGTGGTGGGGGGCTCAAGCCCCACGAGCTCCTCTTGGGTGCGCTACTGGAACTATGGTTAACCATAGTCTCGACTATAAGGATTCTGTACACTAACAGTATACAACAATTTGTGAGCACTTCAAATGGGGTGGATACACCACATACATGTATTCACATGCGTACAAGTATGCGCAACTCATTTAAATCGATGAGGGGTACTTGTGCACAAAGTCCATAGGAAATTTATGATGAAGTCACACTTTTCTACATACCTTCGCATGTGATAGTGTTAGCATCCCACATTGGCGTGCCATTCCCGTCGTCAGTACACATGACGTAAGTAGGCTGGGTGGGCATGTAGCCCAGATTGCAACCCAGCGTGCACGTCGTGCTGTAGATTTCCTCTGCGTGGGGGCAGCCATTCTTGAAGCCGTTCTGTGGTGAGGGCAGTTCACTGCTGTCACAGGTGATAACTACAAACAATGAACATATTGACAAGATATATTTAAATTGGGAAAAAGTAGATTGCTATTCAAGACTTCTCTGAACTATCAACTACAAAAAAGAGTTCTGAATGCGTTCGATTACTTCCCCCCAGCTTAACAATTTCGGGTAAAGAACAATTTCAGGTAAAGTTTTGTGCAAGAGCTGGAAAGTTGAACTTTGACATGACACAGGCTGAATCCGAATCAACTGTCTAGAGCTAGGTCTAGGTCCACACCCATTGAAAATACGCAGGGACGCACTGACAATAGACGTAGCAGTAGCTCTGGAAGCCCGTTTCGGAAAAAAATGTTGCAACCTGACGCCACTTCAGAGGTTTGTGTAAAAAGTCTATGGAAAGTATTTCCTAACAAAGTTGGAAATGTTTCTTAGTCCTAGATTCACGTCTTATCGTCATTTTTGCAGTGAACGACCTTCATTGAGATGATATATGAAGACAAAAGTGGCGTCAGGTTGCAACACTTTTCCGTCCATTTCGGACATGGCTTAAGGCTCCCATCGGACTTCACGTTGGCAGCCATGTTTACTGCATGGCCTTATGGGATACTTACCCAAGTAACCGGCTCTGTGAGTCGATTACTTGAACCAGGCTCGAAGAAAGCGCGAGAAGTCGTGTGAGAGGTAAATCGACACGATTGCATGAGTAAGCGCAGGGGAAGTAATGAAACGCACTCCCTGTGCCAAATTCAACTTAGTAAAACTTTTAATGAATAAACCAATAAGACACAAGCAATAAGCATCTTAGGCACCCCCTCCTTCAATTTTACCATCATTGCCTGGTATGTTTCGTTGCTCAGATGAAACTGGTCTGATTTGGTAATTTCAACATCTTTCACAGCTTTAAAATGACCATGTAGTCTGTATTTGATATCGTGCATCAACTTTTTCATGTATACTCATAGAATAGTTCAAGCTCCACGATCGATAACGAGGCATGCGGGCACTGGCGTAAAATGAATGGAACCAATTTCCATAATGTATGATGTAAATCATACAATGGAATATTCGTCAATGAAATGGGGTAATGTTTCAATGTCATGTGACAAATTCCTCCAATCAAATGACAATTGGATCTATTTAGGTGTTATGTAAAAGCTGTTTGAATTCCAAGTAAATGGTTATAAACCTCTTTACCTTGACAGTCTGGGAAGGTTGAGTTCCAGTTTCCATCGTTGCCACACGTCACCTCGGTAGACCCAGTCAATACATGGCCTGGTTGGCAGGCATAGCGGCATGTAGTCCCTGCTGGGATCTGATCAGTAGCTGGGCAATCCTGTGAGTTGCTGATGTAAGCATTGGCAGGGATGTAGGCTCGCGGACAGGTTTGCACTAAGTAGAAGGAAAGAGTCAGGGCAAAGCCCAAAGTAGGAGCTTTGTATTAGACTAAACCCTCAGAAGAGGAAATACACAATATGGCTGTTATGTGACATTTTCTCAAAAATTCAAAATGAAATCTTTATTGTCACATTTTCTAGTAGATTCAAATTGCAAATTATAATATGTAATAATATCAGAAAATCCTGATATTTGCAAAATCCCAGACAGTTTTGTTATTAAAGTGGCATTGATGAATTTTTTGGATTTGTACCTTCGCAAAGAGCCTCATAGCCATCCCAGTATCCCTGAGCTGCTCCAGGCTGTGCCAGACAGCGACGCACTCCACTGCCAGTCAGCTGGTACCCGTCATCGCAAGTGAACCGACACCAAGAGCCATAGGCTGTCGAGCAGGTGGTATTGTTGAAAAATCCACCGTTGACTGGTGCAGGCAACGCAGGGCAGGTGACAGCTGCAAAAGGCAAATTACGATAAACAGTAGGGTAAACAGGAAGGGGCTCCCAAAACAATCCAAATAAGTGATCCATATAAGCTTTCTGAAAATAATTTGTTAATAGGTTACAGTTAAAATTAATGCCAATGATCCTATAATGCCTTTAAAGCACAAGATCTTCAAATAATGTTTAACTTTAACAAAGCAATTGACTGCAGAGGGGTTTGAACCTGCGACCTCCGGATTGCCGTTCCATTGCTCTACCAACTGAGCTATCCAGCCATATGTTGAAACTTTACCATTTTGTCAATGTCTTTGTTCAAGTAGGGATGTCCTTTTTCAAATAATTTAGTATTCGATTACTCAAAGCTGTGTTTGACTGAATATTTGGATATTCAAAACTGCCAGCTGCAACTCGTACTGTGCCGTTCAAAAGTTAACCCAGAACGCGCCAGTTATAATTTTGGTGCAGCGATCGATATGGAGTGTTTTGCAGTCAGCATTTTATCACTGTCAAGGGGTTTAACCTGCTTAAAGGATAGAAATAACGAACCGCTGTTATCAAGAAGTTACTGTCGACAAAAAAGTGGCACCTGACAATAAAAAACAGCACCTTTATGATAAAGTAACATCACAGTCGTGTACGTATGTGAATCCTTCTTTTTTTTTGAAGCTTCAAAGCGACAAAAAGCTATTTGAATATTCTGTATATTCGATACAGCCCTATGCTCAAGATTTTTTGATACTTTCACAATACAGCCTTACTCACACATAAACAAGGCTGGCTTACCACATGCAGTCAATTTATTATCGTATGTTACAATTCTACAGTGCTGTATTCTTGTACTGACCTTGGCAGGTTGGCTGCTGTGCACTCCACACTCCTGTATCTCCTTGTCTCTGACATTCAATACTCGCCTGACCACCGGTCAACACAAAGCCTGACCGACATTCAAACTGGCAGACAGAGCCATAGTTGAACTGTGATGAACACGTCCTCCTCTGGCCAGTGAGGTAGGAGAGATCTGTACACTGGATCACTGCAATGACAAAGGTTTTTAAATTTCAGAGATCAAAACAAAGGAATTTCAAATTTCGAAAGGTAGGCCCTATTCTTCCAAATCCTGAACTAAGGAAAAAACCTTACAAAAAATTCCTGACAAATATTTTTTTGAAATCGGAACAAATGTGAAGAAACCTCACACCAGGTTTACATGCAGGACTGAAATATGACACTGAAGGGCCTACATGGATGGCCAATTTTCTTTTCCATTTTCTCATGCGGACCAGATACCTTGACGCAATCATCCAATACTCAGGCATGCAACTGGGAAGTCACCAAAAAAAGAGGAAATTCAAATCTTTCCAAGACTTTGTACATGACTGTTTTTCTATTTTCAATGGCACACATGGCAAGTAAAAAAAGAGGAAATCAGCTGATCCGAGGAAAAGTTTGCATGCCTGAATACTTGTAACCCAGTCAAACTGGCCCAAGTATTCGGCTGAAGTAAACAACTCCACATGTTGCGGCAAACTTTTAAACCTCCCTTAGCCCTTAGGAAATCTACACTGAATTAGTTCTGGGCTGGCAGTATTTTAAGCTTGTGTACTGTGTATGATCTATAACATCTGGTGATATTAAGATTACTCTCTTACCTTGGACAATGACAGAGAATGAGCATGTTGCACTGTTTCCTGCTTCATCTTGGGCCCGGTAACTGATGGCGTGAGACCCTCTACTGAACACCGAGCCAGGCGGCAGACCTGCTGTCTGATTTGGTGTGATGGCATCTCCAGAGTTGTCACACACTTGGGGCGGACTCCAGTTGACAGTTGCGGAGGTCTGAGACGCAGCAGCATAAGTGCTGATGGTGCCTGGGCAGGTCAGTGTTGGATCTTGAACATCTGCAAAGCACAATGCTAAAGCTTTTTAGTATTTAGGATGACAAATGATACGTACATCATCCTAAGCCATGACGAACCCTAGTGATGAAATTTGACAAAGGAGTCAAATCACTGTTGCAGCATGTTGTATTTGTAAAGAATCATTCCAATTTCATGACCAATTTTTTTGAACAAATGTGTCTATGAGGTATTTTCCACCTACAGTTTGGATAAAAGGAACACTGTCCTTGTCAGCAATTAAACTACTTTCAGTAGTGTAGGACTTGCTCTTAATCCTACAAGTATCTGAGAGTATGATATCTCTTGATGGCCTAGTTGATCCCAATCTTACAATGAAACCCCTAATACAAAATGAAAACGAAGGTTTAAGACTAATGATTTACAACAATGGATTCTCTCCTCAATTCTTATTAGAAGCGTACAATCTGTTGTCAAACTTTGCCCAAAAAACTTTTCCAAGTTCACATTTGGAAGTTTATTTTCCAAGTCCATTGTAATCTAGGCTTTGAATACATTGTTGGGAAGCAGAGTTGATCAAATCAAATACTAGCTTACATTTTTCACCCTTTCAATTTTGAACCAAAAAATTTCACTCAGGTTTGCCGTAGTTTGAGACAATACTGGTCGATCTCTCTATGGATGAAATGGTCCATTTATGGCAAAACAAGTGCTTCTTAGGAGTGTGGCTCTGCCCTTGTAAAGCAGGCAACTGGAGAGTCACCAACAAAAACCTTTCAGACTTTACAGGACTCTGTGACTTTTTTAATATTTTATTTTAATGGCATTAAAGAAAAGAGGAAATCATTTTTAATCAGACAAGACTAATTACTGACCAACACATGTTGGGGTTGAACCAGTCCATGAGCCATCAGCTCGGCAGACTCTGGTGCCACTCTGTCCTGGGGCAAAGCTGTAGCCAGGAAGATGGCATGAGTGGGTGCAGATGCTGTTGTAGTTGTTGTCGTTTGTGCAGGAAGTCCCAGGTAGAGATGGACACTGAATTGCTGGCATGTAAACAAATAAACAAAGTATCTTAAAGTGAAACCTGCTGATAAAAACAAAACAACAAGGCAAGCCTAGACAAGCTGGTCCAAGGGTTCACAAACTTGTATTCCAATGATTCAGAATGGCTATTCATTGGAATGGGCTGGATTTGGGTGTTATGAGGTAATCCTATACAATAGCACTGCCCAGCTCACAACTGACAGTCAGTGAGATAGGTATAAAGAGGACACTAGGCTGGCCCTCTGGGACCAGCAATTATACAAATAATAATCTTCTCTAGAAATGACAATATAAATACGAGGTTAGGTTGAGTTATGTCAGTTTGTGAAAAACATACAACTCATCCTTATTGGCATATCGAATTTGCACCATTAAGTACTCTTCTAAGAATGTTGATACTATATTGTAATGAAGCAAATTTCAAAAATTTCAGAGAGTGATCTAGCATTCCACTTGTGACACATATTGCATAGGCTGCACAAAAATTGTCACATTTCACATGAGTTATGCAATGCATTGCTCTACAGATTATGCATCTTTTAGAGATGGTCTTTTTACATGATTTGTCTCCCTAATCTCCCTGTCACCATGCAAAGAAAAATAATCTATTTTGGAAACATACAAGTCACTGACTCAGTGTAAAGGGTGTATAAAAAGGAAATATTAAAATAACAGATTAGTATGTTAAATTTATGAACTTTACCACTCTCAGTGTGGTTGCAATGTAAAGGTGACTAACTACTGAATTTAAAAGAATTTTCAACGTGTTTCTTTGCCAAGAAGACTGTTAACCTTTGTTTTCAATGTATGCCAATGCTAGTGACAAAACAGTCGGTCCCACTTGCTTGGAAGTTTCCAACACTGGCAAACGTCAGCATTTGTTCAAGCCTGCCTGGTAAAAGTTGTTTTTACCTTCTGTGATAAAATTGATCAATCAACTGTTAAAAATTAGTTTGTTTAATTTGTTCTTACGTGTACAGTATGGTGCAGTACCAGACCATATTGTATTGTTTTGGCAAGTGCGTTGGGATGACCCACTGATAGAGTAGCCGGTCATGCAGCTGATGGAACATTCCGAGCCGAATATGTCACCATGGGAATAGGAAACAGTGCCCCAGGTGACTGGTGGGTGGACTCCGCATCTGTTTACTAAAGAGAAAGAGGAAGAATGTAGAAAAAAGCATGTTTAACAAGTGAGTAATAGCTGAAGAGAGGAGTGCTGGCCCAAAACACACCAAAGATCATTTGCTGGTTTCCTGACAACAATCTCAGTCTTTAAACACTTACCCTTCACAGCGACTATGAATGTGCAAAGGTAGTTGTTTTGGTTGCCTTTGCCATCCTTTGCCGAGTATCTGATGGTATATGGTGACCCAGATTCACTGAGGTTGCTGCCACTGGCTGGGCCACTTTCTCTCTGCACTCTGCAAAAAAATCGAAAAATATTGACATTCTTAGATGCAAATTGTCGAAGAAAGGTCTCCTTAAAAAAACAGACTGAATTGAGATCTCAAACTTGGCTGGTGAAAAAGTGAGGACCTTGTCTCTGTCTCATGAAAATTTAGGTTAGTAGAGTTTAACAAACTAGTTAGCGACATTAAACACTAACAGGGGCTGTAAATAGAGCCATAGAGGAGAGGGTTTCAATTTCAAAGTGTTTAAAATAGCTGTGAAAATTTGTAAGTCCCAAAAAAGAGGTGTGAAGTCATATTTGCTTTTAATTAAATACACATTTAACAAAATGGGCATCTGCAGGGGTGTCAATGATAATTATTAAAATGATAAATAAAGAATATGCTACAGACAGTACAAGGATTTGGGGAAAAACTGTGCTTTGCCCTCCCCCCCCCCCCCCAGCAAAAAATCCTGGAGACGCCCATGCTAAATGTGGTAGCTTCACAGGGTTTTTTTGGAAATAGTAATTGCCCTTTCCAACCATGCATAATTATACACAGTGTGTAAAGTATATCAGGCATAAGTGTTTTGTCCTCGGTCAGAAAATGTGTTTGTCTTTTTGTTCCCAGCACAGCATTAACAAATCATGTTTGAACACATTAAAAGAATTAGAATTCATCATTTGGGGGGGGGGGGGGGGGGGCAGGGAAGGAAGAGGATAGGACCCAATCCCTGCAGCAAGCAGCCTCCGTTGTAATTGTGCGTACATCGCGCACCAGAAACAAAATCTTCTGAGATTATGTAACTTTTCTTTTCATTTCAAGGGTCCACACAATAAAGTCCATGAAATCAATTTTTTAAGCTGGAGCACGTTTTTAGCAAATCTATATCTAGTCCTCTGAAATGCATAAAAGCTATGGGACATCCTCTTTTTGGGGGGAGGGGGAATCTTTGCAAAGTGCACTTTGTTTTACCTCAAAACATATCTGTTTCCACATCGTTTTTGTAATTAACGGTTTTCTTTGTATGTATGCGCCATGAGCGTCATGCCTGGCGGATACCAGCGCTTTACCAAGTGATCATTATTATTATTATACTCAGACTCACATAAAGATTTGAAACATGACAACTGACTTTTATGTGTGTGCCCCACAGTCAAAAATGTTATTTCATCTATTGTGCTAGAAACCAAATTTCTGGCAAAACAGGACACTCAATCACAATAGTGGGTACACCTGACCCAAGACCAAATGGGTACACCATACCCGCAATCAAGTGGGTACCCCAGACCCCAAAACAAGTGGGTACACCAGACCCAACCCAGCGGGTACACCAGACCCAGACCTGAGTTATCTAATAGACAAAATTGATAGGTTAAAACGAGATGCACTTGTGATCGAATAAATTATACAATGTTTACAAGTCATTGCAGATGTGTTCCCACCACTGTTGAACATTTGGTCAGGAGCATATAGCCTCTTGAAACAGGTGAGCATTTGAATACTTGCAAAGGTTAATGCAATTGAATATCCTCAATATTCAAAAGACTATCCGTGCTTTACAATGTTTTAATGGCGAAACAGGGGGTTTACTGGCTGTCTGCCTGGATACAATGCCAAAGAAAGTGAAACGTATACCAATTACAAAAGGTGGAGCCTGGGGTGGCGGTGGACAAAATTATTTGCTGAAATGCTGCTGAAAATTGTAAAAACCCTCCACCTCCTCTGGATCAAAAGTGGTCAGAAATTGCCTCAGATCACACCACAGAGCATCTAGATTCCACAATTTTCCGGGGCCCTTACGCCGCTAGGCCATCGCTTTTCAGGCTCGCATTAGTTCTCATCGAGGTGCCCTCGTGAAGGACATCACAATTGTGCTCATTAATATGGAAAATAGCATTAACATAAAAAAATGCTCCAAAACGTCCTGAAAAAGGCTACATGAAGATTAAACGAAGATAACAAATCAAGTTAAATGGAACACTTTTGGATTGCACTTTTAAAAATCCATTACATTGGTCCCTTAAGCCCGGTTCATACTTCACACGAAATCCTGTGCGAAGCGAAATTCATGTCGTCAACAATGGTGGACGTGCTTCGAATGTATTGTTGACGTCACAAATTTTGCTTCACTTTCGCGTGAAGTATGAACCGGGCTTTAGAGACGCGTTTTACTCACGTGACCGGGTCGCTTGGGTCTTCCCCTTCTGGATCGTTCCAATGCACAAACAACCAAGTAGACTGAGCGTTCGCGTATACAGTTTTGTCGGAACATGTTCCCTCTTTCAACGTCGGTGGCGTTCTGTCTGGAGCTATACAAGCACACATATAAAGGCGTATTACAGGATTTTGTCCAAAAAGTAGCCTACCGAATTCTTGTCAAAAAGCTTAATTGGATTAATACTGGTACTGCACAGTGATTTAATGAACCACATTAAATAAGGGGACAAACAGTCAAGCTGTTTTGGGTACATTAATGGAGAACCATTTATTCTAAGGCTACTAGGCAAGACCAAATTGAATTAAGAAATTCTACAAGGCCAAACCACATACACTAGAGTCTTTATTGTAACTACTGGTACATGTACATGTACATCTAAAAAAGAAAAGAGAAGCCTCCAAAAAGTATATATCCCAAACAACTAGATTGTGGGTAGGCCCTAGTTGACAATAAATTTGAAAAGTAGGATGACATACATTTGTATAGTATTTGAAAACATTTATTGAGTGCTTGGCAATGCCTTTGAAAACGGTTGCGTCAATTTTAACCTTTGCTCAGGGGAGAGGTAATATGCTTCGAATGCCTAAGATTTCCAGTCCCCCATCATTTCGACTATTTCACAAGGAAGGCCAGATTGCAAAGCCCATCCTCTGTGAACTGCGAGTGCCAGACTGTGATTGAGGGAGCTTTAATCTAGTAAGCAGCTTGATGAGAGTGGTTTGAAACATGGGAGGGAGTCAGAGGTTTGTAACCTGAACTTTGAGCGGGTATTATGAAAGTAGGGCTATTGCAGGGTACATCTGGACACAATGCGAAATATCGATTGAGGGCAGTGACTGGCAATAGTGGATGCTCATGCAAGAAGGGCAAGGGGACAGACAATTGGCGTTGTTTGAATTGGATGGTTTTGGACCATCAAATATTGAGCAGAACACCCCAAGGATGTACAGGAAAAATCTGATCGGGTAATGTGCGGTTCAATATCAAAAGACCCAGCAGAAGGGGTGAGGAAGTTGGATTTGCGCAACAATCCAAAAAAGGCTACTAAGCATGCTGCCCAAAATGCAGCATCAAAGGGGATGACAAATCTAACAAGGATCAGACGGATAAGAGAATGGTAAGGGTGATGGTAGTCCGAAAATTTGGGACTCTCAATACTCTGTATGAGAGTCCCAAAACTTAACTCTTTCGCTACGGCGAGCCGCTGACAGTGACAGTGGCACAAAAAAAATATTGTACATGTCGAACGGCAAGCCGCTGGCAGCGGCTCGGTGACGTCGCTGTGAATAAACAGGGTATCCCCATGACGTGTGCCTTATCTACATAATTTATATCGTATAACCTCTGACCCCAGTTTGAGCCACTGCCAGCGGCTCTTCGTTTCGCCGGGGTCTGCTGCAAGTTATTGTGAGCAGTTTGTTTACATACATTTAAAGATGGCGGCGTCCACATCGACACACGGCGGATTTTCCAGCGATTCATTGCGTCCAAACGTGCAAAAATTGGTAAATTAAATTCCGTAGCAAAAGAGTTAAGGTATTGAAAACATGCAAAACAAGAAAATAGACTGGCAGTCTGGCACCTAAAACAACCGCTTCAGTACTGCATCAATCAACCATGCCAAAAGAATTTAAGAAACATGTGGCATGAAGCGGGAACAAGTCTCAATTTACTACACAATTCTCCTTAGTCAAGCCACGAGACTATTGACTGTGAATGAAGAGGTCATTTTTTCTCAAATAGTTGGACCATGGTTGGACATGTACCAGTCTAGTATTTAGCCCCATTTTGAAATCACTTGACTTCCCTCTCATGTGCAAAAAAATGAAGAAAAGTCTCCTTTAAAGGGAATGAACATCATTGGCATTTGCTGTAATTTTCAGAAATGGAGTATTTGAGGGGTTAGTATAATATATCAAATATTGTTACACTGACAAGTTTGAAGTTTTATGTTCGAAAATGCTGGAAAAACAAAGAAAAAACGAACAAAGAAAAATTGTTCAAGTAGTCTGGTTCCCTGACTCCACTAAAGATGAAATGGATCAATTTATAGTTGCCAGACAATTGTAAGGCAAGGGAACCAGTCTAGCTGGCCTGCACCCATTCATGAACATGTAACCAATACCTGACAAAATTTGGACTGCAAAAAGGTAAATTTGGAGCAGTAGTTGAAATATAGTTAGGTTTATCTAACAGTGGTCGGCCGACCACCGTTAGAATATATACAAAAATACCATTTTTTTTGAAAATGGCTTCACACCAGGTGCCATAATTTTACAGGATGCTTTAGACTGTCATTTACCAACATCCTAGTAAGGTATTTCTTTAAAACTTGGTAGTTTTATTTTTCGATGTTTGCAAATGTTGTATATTCCCTTTAAAAATTGAATCGAGTCTGTAAACTTGGTTGGTGAAATACCGAGGACATTTTCTTTACCCCAGTGGAATTTTTGGAGAAATTTGCTGGCTAAACTGTGAGTAAAGTGAGCCTAATTTAGTTTTACACGTTTCAGAGCACTCCAGAGCCCTGTCTGGGGTGATGGGCTCTTTGTGCTGAACGATGTGGCCTTTAGTTTTCTTTATTCCCAGCAAAATTGTCTGTGGATGCCAATTATTTTCTAGCGGGTTAGGGAGGCCACAGTCACGATGAAGTGTTCTGAGGATATTGTAGCGAAATTATGGTCTGAAGTTAGGACGCCCTCTTTTAGTTAGTTTATTCGTGAATGCCGTGACGCATGCATACCGCGCGGCTATATAAGCAGTGCGCGGTGGCGGGAAAGTCACTCTGTGGCGGGAACAGTTCGAGGCAGTCAAAGTCCTGTGAGTAGTTCTGTACCGTCCGTCATTGTCCCGTCTGTCGTAGTTACTGCAGAGTCCGCACAGTCCGTTGAAGTCCCGTTAGAGTCACGTCCCGTTTACTGTTAGCCTTGTGAGTAGTTCAGTGTAGTCCAGTGCACCCTTTTTTGGAGGAAATAGACCGAGTCACCGCAGATATTTAAGCTCTCCCTCAGTGCGTATTAAACCCTGTTTAGGTGATCATAGGCGCCACTATAGTAATCCTACCAAGGTGATCTTTGTTTCAATAAATCATTATTCCAATTACACATCGAGTTTGAGTGTTGTTTTGTAGAAACATCAGCCCCCAGTCCCATCCCATTCCCCTGTGTCCGCCCAAGTACAACCCCGGTGTGTGGAAGGAAGCAGCTGCGAGCGCCTGGCGGTAGACTGCCCCAAAACGGACCTGTTCCCCTGGCCTTCCCTACAACCGCTCGTCGGGTCGGCAGAGGGCAATCCCAGGCTACGTCGACACAGGCCGCCACAATATTAATGTAGGCCTACTGAAGATGACCTGCTAAATAGGCCACGTATCTGCTTAACAGTGCTTAGTATCATATGGTGGGACTGGGACTTTGGGAGTACCTGGAACAGGTGAATAATTCATCATGAACAAAATTTCAATTTATTACGGAGGTGAGTGCGATAGGTGGCTTTGATGGATGATGCAAATGTAGCACATCGGTACTGTTGCTGCAGTCTGTGCATCTGGGGAGAAAATAGACAGCAGGGAGGGGAGAGACATATGAACAGTCATAACTAGCTTGAGAAGTTGAGTAACTCCAGCTGACATGCTCATACATGTATAGCTACATGTGAATGATTATGAGCATGTCAGCTGGAGTTACTCAGGCTAAGTCAGAACTAGCCCCATAAATGTAGCCTATTTACTGGACTGCCTCCGTAAACATAAGCCACACATCCACATGTACAAAAACTTGTGGACTTTGCCAAATTTTGATTTTCACATTTAGGCTTACTTTGTAGGTTTTTTTGCTTTAGAAACATTCTCACCCTCTATAGGCTAATCAGAAAGTGCTGCCTTTTTCAGATGTCTAATTTTTGTGAAATTTTATGTTGAAATTTTGATACGCAAACGTGTGCAAATGTATCTGGAAATTTCACAAAAATATACATCTGAAAAAGGCAGCACTTTCTGATTAGCCTATATAGAGGGTGAGAATGCTTCTAAAGCAAAAAAAACCTACAAAGTACAATTGTAAGCCTAAATGTGGAGTGAAAATCAAAATTTGCCAAAGTCGACACGTTTGTGTACATGGATGTGTACATGTGGATGTGTGGCCTATGTTTACGGAGGCAGTCCAGTAAATAGGCCACATTTATGGGGCTAAGTCATAACCTGACAACGTACCTATTCACGATCACCTGTGTCACGCACACAATGATTGATTTTATTCGAAAATAAAAGTCTTTTAATCTTACAAAATAGTGCAATCATACGTCGTCCTACTCTTCTAAGTTTCGACCTGACAAAATCGTTGTCACACAACAGAGGGCGCTACTCCCCTACGGCGAGTAAAACCATAGACATAAAGTAAAACTCCCGAATGGCAAAATCTGCATCACTTGACAAAGATGCACGTACTAATGAATTTAGAACATATTTAACATGGTAAATGGTCGCATTTGAATTAATTTTCAATAATATTTTTGATGATGATTCAAGAAAATCGATGATGTCTGGGTCATGTATGGTTTTAAACCACTTGTACTACACACCCTGCCAACTTCAAACGATCAGTCCATTGACTGATTTTGGAGAATAAATCGTGAGTCGTGCATACGTGGGCGCCGCCAGGATTTTTCTAGAGGGAGGCAAAGCATATTATTTCCAAAAATCCTTGTACTTCCTCTAGCATATTCTCAAAGTGACTTTTTTGAGGGTAGGCGGGGGACGTTTGCCCACCCCACCCCCGTTGACACCCCTGCAGACGCCCGTTGTTAAATGTGCATTCAATTAACAGCAATATGACTTCGCCCCTCGTTTTCTTCTTTGTCTTTGTTCCCCCTCTTTTTTTGTTTGTTTTCCTGGGGGAGGGTAGTCTATGTAAAAGTCCACGGCAAGTGTTATGATATGTGAGCAGATTCACTGATTAATTAGACGAAGACAACCGCCTCTTGACCAATTTTGACCAATCAGCGAGCGCTTTCTATATCATGTCTTCGGTCATTCACATGAATGCGCGTTATTAACCCTAAAGGGGCCGGGGGCGGAATCCGCCCCCCCCCCCTCCTCGACTTTTTTCTCGATAGCTTTTGAAAAAGATTTTTTTCGTGACCCGAGCTGTTATGACTTTTTAGGCTCAAGCCTTGCGCATCTTTTGACACCAAAAACATAAAAATCGGACCAGGGGTTGTCGCGCAGCGAAAAAAATTCCGGCGCTACGCGCCGTGAAAACTGAATTTTCTCATATACGTGTGCACAGACCAGAATTGCCATTCGTACGTATGAATAATTAATTAGCCATAATTCCAAAACCTTTTGACCTATAGTCATGAAATTTCTTGGGTATCTGCATGAAGAGTTGCTCTATTCATGTACCGAGTTTCAAAATTTGTCGTCACTCGATGGCCGAGATCTTCCGCCCCCCCTCCCCCCCGGCTGAGAGATGGTCAAAATAACCCTGCCCCTTTTAGGGTTAAAAAAACTGTGTCGCGCACTCTGTATCATGTTACGCGATAAGCACCAGGCTGCTGTTGTCATTACAAAACACTGCATTCGCATTTACCAATCAAACCATTTAATCCTGATTTGGGAATGAAATGACGTCACGATTTATTAAAGTCAACTCCGATTGGCTGGCCCGCGGCTTGCATGTCTAGACATATCAGACGTTATACAGGAGACTAGCTCCGTGGATAACGGGGGGGGGGGGGGGGGAGCACCCCCCATGCATCCCCCTCCCCTCGCGACACTCATTGCGTGCATGGTTTGTCACTGTTTTCTTGAAAGTGTAACATCCACCGAGCTGAACATTTTGAACATTCGTCTTTTGTTTGAAAAGTACCAGGTTGATCTTTTTGTGTGCATGAGAGGCCTTTTCGGAGGGTTAGAGACTCCCAAAATAGTGTGAGAAAATTCTAATACACAAAAATCTCCTGAATCACTGTCGGGCTGCAATCATGCGACACTTTCGTTATTTTTTATTCGAGTAGGGCATAGACTCGCGCAAATCATTTTTGTTCGATGTCTCGTTCCAAAAAGTGAATTTCTCTTTCAAAAGGGCCGTTCCCTCAACCATTCACACTCAAAAAGAGGGCATTTCTCTTGAAATAAATGAACAAAATAATGAATATACAGTCATCACGTGCCCGTATATCATCCAAAGTACTCACCACTGCCACCTCCACGGCATGCATCTGAAAGAGTGGAGAAAAGAAGAGGGTAATTCAATCACAATCCACGGCCGTAATCTTCGACAGTGATGGTTTTAGTCATTCGCAAACATTATTCGAGCGCAACAAGCGCATGCGCTTGCAGCGCCATGACCATAGTGCAGTTCGTGCACAGTTGAGGATACATACAGTGGCAAGCTATGTATCGAGTGGGTTTTTTTTTGGAAGAACACACAAGCAAGATTTTTGCTGATAGCTGGTGAAAGCAGACACTAGGATGTCCAGCCAGTGAGACTGACCACTAACACAGAGGAATCGATAGTCTTAGGGACCGTCGGGCGTGCTCCAATATCGATGAGGTGTTCCGTTTTACCATAACTCTCAGTCATCAGATAAATAGTTTTGTGAGCCCAAACGTTAAACCTACCTGATGCTGGAAAACAAACGAGTACCAAACACAGAACGAACGGACAGACGAGACATATCTTCGGTTCCATCCTGAAACCTGGTTGTGGATTGGACTTGACTTGTGCGCTACTTTTATTACCACTCTGGGATTGACTCCGCCCCTTATTTTTGTTCTAGGCTAATTTATTTATTTTGGCATGTAGTGTGACATTGGTCTGTTCGGTGGACTCTGATTTTCAAGCACAAACTTTTGAAGAAAAGTTTAGGCTGTATTATTCATCAAAAAAGCATGACGTCATGGGAACCGTGACCAATCACAGAAGAGGAGGGGAACTGCAGAGCTGTGGGTTCCTTCTCTGCGGACCGGGAGGAGCAGGCGGCCACGGGTTGGACGTGTATAGACCCTGCCGTGACTCTCGGCTCTGGGACGGTCACTCCAAGGGATATTCCGATCGTTACCTACCACTTACGAACGGGCAGTGTGTGCATAAATCTGTTCTGTGCAAATATCTTTTACCAATTTACCAGGAACTCAGATTTAGAGTCCCGAGAGCGTTGTTGGGACATCCATTCAAGCCAACTCCAATACTATCACAATGAAGATTACTGAGATCATCTCCGTCGTCATCTTCTGCCTCATGGTATCCGTACATCAGTCAGGTGCCGAGGAGGCTCAATCCCCCTCCCCGCCCACCTCATTACCAGGTCATCTCAAGCCCTTGGCTTCCAAGGCTACCCGTTTCCCCGTCTCAGTGATCCAGGACTTCCCTTCCCCTTACGAGTTCTTCCGGAGCTATGTCTACCCTTCCGTCCCCGTCATCATCAAGCAAGGAGCGAGGCGTTCGCCAGCCTTCCAGAAGTGGACCGACGAGTACCTGAAGAGCTTGCCCGAGTCCCAGCAGCTGATCAGAGTGGAGATGCGGAAGGTTGAGGAAAGACAGTTACCGAGGATGAACATGCCCTTCGCTGAATTCCTGGACAGATACCAAACCACCGATGAGTACCTTGTCGCAAGAGTCCCAGATTTCTTAAAGTGAGTGCTGTGACTTTAATGTACACAAAAAGACAGGTTTCTTCCTTAACTTTGTAACATCATCCATTTGAGAATAAAGATTTACATGCACATGCATACACTGCTATGATTTTCGTACCACATAAGTGTGGTCTTCCTAAATTTTCAAGAGCCATCATTGTGTATTGTTAAGATTGTCATTGGCCGCGATGTTTCATCTCATTATTCACTACCGTTTGTCGATCATTTGTGTTCACAACTAAGTATTCGGTTGGTGTTTATCATTGAAATTATGGAGTTTTCCCGTAGAACATTTTCAGAAAACTGTGACAGAGATGTTTTTGATCTATTCCAGGAGAGATGTGCTGATCCCGCCATCTTTGCATTGTACTAACGTCACTGCTAATTTGCTGGAAACAGTAAGTGTGTGGCTATGTAAGAGAAAACAAAAAAGTCATCTTGACAGAAGAAGATGACGTATTGCAAAGGTTTAGTACAGAAGTACCAACCGACTAGCCTAATTATCAATAATTGGCAAACTGATTGACAGACCAAGCCCAACCTTTTTACCTGATCGAGGGACAAACGAGCAATCAATCAACCCACCAACAAACAACTCAGTGCGCGCTGTTTGCTTAAAAATTCCTGAGATATGCACCTTAAAGGCATATAGGATCATTTGCATTTAGCTCAAAAGTTTCCCACCGAATCAATTTCAAAATGCCTACGTGGAGATCGTACTGTCAATAAACACCCCGCGAAATTATTTCTATCTGACTAACTGTCATTTTGAAGAAATCAAGAAGATTTCTAAAGATCAGTCAATTGATTTTCGAAATAAAGAGTGCAATTGACAAAGTCGTGTTTTGTGGTCAAAAGATTGTGTATGGTTTTTCGCTGTTTTCTCGAAATGTGTATCCACTGTGCTGGAACTTCATCTGGATAAGTTTTGAACATTAAATGGATTATGAGTGGTGTTATTACATGTATTCCAAACGAATATGCACGACAAACAAATGATGCAATAGGTATATGCCTTTAATAAAAAAAAAACTTGTTAAACGTCTGCATCAACAAAATTAAATAACCCTTCGCCTCGAAATAATGGGCATGATGAACACATAAAACAACGAAATCCTTTTGTTGTGGACAGATGCTGTGGTTTAGTAGCGGAGGTACCAAGTCTCACGTACACACCGACTATGTTGACATTATCAACTGTCTGTTCAGAGGCCAGAAAGACTTCCTCCTCGTCAACTACACGCGCTACAGGCAACAGGTAAACAACAACATTTCATTGCCACTTGCCTATAGGTTTGGGTTTCGGTTTCTACACAATCATGTTCACTTAAGATAGACGCTGCATGTATGCTATTGCTTTTGATGGGGAATTTCCTGGTAAAGACCATTTCCTGCTTGATTTTAATGTGAAAAGTGGATGAGTGGTATCGTGTTAATAAATGATAAAGGTCTTCTAATGTGTAATATTATTATATTTTTATTTTTTTGGGAGGAAGCAAATTTGAGTTTCGACAGTTAATTAGAATTTAATATGCAGGTTTACTTGATTTAGGGTCGGATTTTCTGATGTATTGCATAATGAACACTACCTCGATATGTTTTTTGATCAACATGATCAAACGTTTTAACAATTTTACTGCTCGTCTTTGGCGCACCCCCTCTCCATAAAAAAATGCATTAATTTAGAATTGATGTGTTGGTTTCTTTAGCTTCCAGAATTTTCAATATAAAAAGGCGTTCATCACAAAGCTGCGCTTTTGGCAACAAGTTAGCTTTATCAATTAATGCCATCTTATAAATAGCTCCATGGTACTTTTTTTTAAAGATTGTGTTCGACCATCCAGAAGGCTTCTACTCGAGTGTAGACGTGGAACGAGTCGACTTGAACAAGTTTCCTGGACTGAGGAACCTGGAATTCCATGAAGCAAAAATGCAAGCTGGCGATTGCATCTACCTACCGTTCAAATGGTTAGAGCATCACCTCTTTGTGATTGATAATTTTAATTTTTCATATTTTGTAAGCAGATTACTTATTTCGCAGTTGTGTTCACATTACTATTTTCCTCAGATAATATTAATAGTTTTCACATTAATATTTTCACAAGACAATGTATTTTCTTCATTGTCTTGTGAAAATACCACCATTTTCCTGGTTTGCATTCAACCGGTCTTTTTACACTGATGAATTGCGTAAACAAAGTATAATTCATAATTTCGACTGAGTTTGAGGAAACGTCGATTCCGTTTTCAAGACATTTCATTGCGTTTTATTTGAAAGCAACTTTACACTTTACACAAAACTTAACAAAAGCAATACATTTGCCCCCCTTGCTTTTCATATTACATTTGGGGCGGAAAATATTTAGACCCAACTTTTCGGGAAACTAAAAAATGTTGCCCCCCCCCCCCAAAAGAAGAGATTGTGGTCTGGATCCGGCCTTGCACATAGTACCTGAATAAGTTAAAACGTAGAAACAAAACAAGCTACAAAACACATGCAAAAACAGTTTGGACTCCAAACGTAAGCAACACTCACTCCCTCCCTCAAACAAATTCTTATTCGTTTAAAAGATTAATAAAAAAATGACATGTGAGTTTTCATTATCCCCTTGCCCAGCAAGAGTCTAGATAATTATAGGAGCAGATTCGGCGATTAATAATGCAACAAGACTGCGTTTTGACCTCGATATTCTGACCATTCAGCGGGCGCCATCTATATCGGGTCTTCGGAAATACCCGTTTTGAAAGCCAATGTCGGTTTTTTTTTATCTCTATGCCCGTTGTTGTACAAAAACATGTTGATTGACCAATCAACAGCTTAGTCCAGATTTCGGAATGAAATGATGCCATGTCGACTCCGATTGGCTGGCGCGCGGGGTCGCATAAATTTGCACACTTAGATATATCAGATGTTGGTCCTTAGATATATCAGATGTTGGTCCTTAGATATATCAGATGTTGGTCCTTAGATATATCAGATGTTGGTCCGGAGACGAAGAGAGCTCCGTTGGACAGGGAACTAAAAATAGAAAATTTGTTAGCACTACGCAATGACATGGCATGACACGTACTCGAGGCGATTAGAAGGAAACATTGACATTGTTCTCGTGTTTGCGAAAGTCCGACAGCAAATTTGCAACATTTGCTTTTCCTTCTATCTTCTATATGAGTCAACACTTACAAACCTCAACATGTATTGTTGTATAAGAGGTGTACTTATTTCCCATTATTACCATACATGCCCCTATGCATCATTTCTATGTCAATGACTTGTTAAATACGAGTGAAACTTGTCATACTTCGAGTATCGGAATCGGTATTGGTCAAAACCCCTTTTTTTTTTACAGCCATACCTCTAGGCTGCTAAATTGCGATAACAAGCATGCTATTGTACAGACTGTTGCTTTATTTGCTTGATCATTAAAAGCAGTTATCTGCACTATTATTTTGTTTAAGAGCTCATTGTAGAAAGTTTTACAACACTCTCATAGTTATATAATGGTTACTGATTAGGTCTTTCTAATGTCTTTGCTTATAGGTCTATGAACAGATCCAGGGTACATTATTGTATTCAAATTTAAGCGCCATTTCGGGGAATTGTTTTTGAAGTCCCTTGCTATCCCAAACGTTGCAAAACGCACTCGGTTCACATGATCCTCATTGTACACGCACCGCGTAGCCTGCTCCCTTGACAATCAACCCGGTGACTGCCCGAGTTGCCAAATGATTTGTGATGAAAAAGAAATAAAGATATAATGAGACATTCATATAATCTTAAAGTCCTTCAGAGTATTAAAACTTGAGTAATTATAAAGCAGTAGAAAATGATACAGGCCTCTTCATTTGAATGTACAAAACAATACAAAGTAAACATTTTGTTATAAAAATAAAATTAAAAACTAGCGAGAGTGCAGTTCAGAAACCAACCTAAGCATTTTCATAAAAGGCATAAGGGATCATAAATTTTCATGTATCCCAAAAGTAGCCTTCTTAATTATCAAAAAGGTTAATACTTGGATTGAAGACCGTACCACACACCCCGTGCAATGATTTCGTCTGGCTTGCTGGCATTGAGAAGAAATCAAGAAATGCAAGTGGTTTCCATTTATCTGTCAGTTGACTGCGTTTTTTTTTTTATAGAGATTTTGTTTGAATAAACATGTGCTTTGAACAAAATCGTGTTTCATGCTTTAGTGCGTGGTTTCCAGTTTTCTCGAAAATCGTAATAATCACTGAGCTGAAACTTCAACGGGTCAGGATTTGAACATTCATCTTTTTTCTTCGGTTGATTTTATTATTAAAAAGAAACAACATGCATGAAAAGCAAATGATACTATGTGTCCTAAAGCGCAATCTGTGTGTATGACTTTGTTTCTGCATTCAATAGGGGACGTTGGACAGTAGTACATGCCCAATTGGGATAAATCAACTACATGTGTATTTAGAATTCGTACCGTTTTAGAAGTGAATTCGCTAAAGATTGACCCGGCGTACCAAATCAAAAAATGAATGTCACCATGGCGTTTAAGGCTTTTTTTATTATATGTATTTTATCTCCAATCACCGATTCAGGATTCATCAGGTGAATTCCTTCGGTAGCAACGTTGCAGTCAACATCTGGTGGAATCACCAGGCCTACGTCGTGCCCTCCCCGGAGTCCTGCGGCAGGCCGGAGCCGGGACTCTCGCTGGCCGATGTCAGCTTCCCGTACCACGACCAGACGAACGGTGACATACAGACGGATCTTCACCCAGAACTGGATTTCTTCAGGGACCCGTCGTGAGTTTCATGGCTTATAGTTCCGCCAAATTCGCATGACATACTATCAACAAAAACAAAACATGTTCTAAAAAGATCACATATTTTTTAGCTGTCATGAGTTGAACATTTCAAGATACCCTTTTTTGATAATTGTTTCAGGGCAACTTTGACGACATTCATGGATGAAGAGGAGACAGATTCCTTGACAGAGGGGCAGTTTCTCGAATTTATGGACACGGTAACTGGAAAGCAATTAAGCATTTTCTGTTGTGATTTCTGAGGTCTCGATCCATCCTGAAATACATCATAATTAATGGTTTGAAACTTTTTATTCTTTCAAATTAATTCAAGTCAAAATTACTTTGGACTCCTGTTTGACTTGGATCCACTCAGCATATCAAGTCAATAACTTTGCTTACCTGTCTTGTAGACCTTTTGTGGAGTTTTACTTTGATCTTTTCTCTCGGTTTCCCACACTTAGATAATTCCAGGACTTGACCAAGACGACATTTGGACCGCAGAAGCTTTGAATGTTGCTCACCAGGTACCGGTATCTAACGTACATCTCAAAGGAAAAATGTACTGACTGAATAAAGAACTCTAATCTTAATGACATGGCTATATGAAAATAAGTGGTTTTATTTTCCTCTTTCTGATTTAATATGAAACCAAGGATTCCTCAAATGTGCTCTATAGGCATATAACTCACAAGCCTGAAGAAACCTGTAGAGAGAAGACAATGAGAAGAATTAGTTTTAGAGGTGGGATGAAAACCCTGGAAAAGTATTCTGGGCAAAATCCACACGTGGTCTGGGCAGGAATCTTACCCGGGCCATAGCGGTGGAAGGCGAAGAAAGTATATAGTATACAAATATTGAATGCTTCGAGTGGTGTATTAAAACTAGCCTCCCAAGGTGATCCATGGACCCATCTATTTTCCCGAGGCGAAGCCGAGGGAAAATAGAATGGTCCATGGATCACCGAGGGAGGCTAGTTTTACTTCACCACGAGATAAAGCATTCAATATTTGTTTTATAACACTTTTCCCACAGATTCTGCTTGATTTTAGTATTTTACATTATTTAAATCTGAACACAGTTGAAATAAACTTCAATTTCAATACAAAATTGGTGGAAAATGTATTTCTCTCTTAAAAACTAACCCTTCACGAAATGTTTGAACCGAAGTCTGCAGCGCGCTCTCTTTGGAATAATACGCGCTACGCACAACGCGCACACCAGCATGCATTTGCACACAAATACCGTGCCGTGGAAATAGTACTTTGGTTGCTAATGGTATAGTACTTTGGTTGCTATGCGCATAGTACTTTTGGCCGTGCACAGAAAGATAGCAAAATTAGAAAGTAACATGTGACTCGCTCTCAGCCAATCAAGACCCAGAATCTGTGGGTGAGGTGTTATAATATACAAATATTGAGTGGCTCAGCGTGGAATGGGAGGAATATTATCGCAAGGTAAAATCTGGACTTTTCCATTTCACGAGGCGAAGCCGAGTGAACTGGAAAAGTCCAGATTTTACCGAGCGATAATATTCCTCCCATTTTACAATTTAAAGCCACTCAATATTTGTTTTATATAACTGACACATAGATCCTTGTCATTTGATACATTTGAACTCTTTTTCAATACGAAATTGGAGGAAAATCTATTTCTCTAGTTCAAACCACCCCTTCACGAAAATGTTTGAACCCAACGCTGAAGCGCTGGCTCTTTGGAACAAATACGCGCTACGCGCAACGCTGAACGCGCACACCAGCATGCATTTGCACACAAATACCGCGTCATGATCCTAACTGTTGAATAGTATTTCCCATTCCCCATGGGCGGATAGTATACAAATATAACATGATTTGAGGGTGGACAGTCGATATTCGCTCCCCGAGGTATTGGAAGTTGACAAACTAGTTCCCGAGGCGAAGCCGAGGGAACTAGTTTGTCAACTTCCAATACCGAGGGGAGCTAATATCGACTGTCCACCCGAAATAAACCATGTTATATTTGTTTTACTATACCTCATACATATTCAGTTGCCGAATTTTGTTTTATTATTATGCACCTAAAACAAAATTCGGGGAAACTTGTACAGCTCACCAAAAGATTCAACTTCAATTACTAGTTCGGTTCGTTTGCAATATAATACAGTTACTACAGTTGTAAATACAGTTGTTTGCAATGTGTACAACTTTCTTTTGTACGGGAGACATCTTTACACGGTCTATACATTTTCTCCAGTACGGCATCATTGAGCTCTGGAAATTAACATTTACGCGAACCGTGCAACCATGCATCTCTCCTGTGCGATGTTCGCGCGTGCGTACTGCACCCGTGCGACAGTTCCTCGATTGCTCTGTAAAGCGCATGCGTAGTAGACTATCGCACGGTAACCCATGCGACAGTCTACTACGCATGCGTATTTACAATGTGCGTGAATCCTCGCGCGCGCGTTTGGTAAACAGCAAGAATAACATCTGGCACGTGATGGTGAATTGACCAGTGAACGTTCGGCTCTCGATCATGAATATGTATGAGGTATAGTAATATTTTTTGAGCCGCGGCGTGAATGGGAGCAATAACGAATGTCATGTGATGTGAGTTCCACCAATCAAATGACTAGGATCTGTATGTCAGTTATATAATAACCAATGCGCCAATCTGACTCCCCGAAAGCGATGCGATCGACTGAGATCGCTAGTAACTCGTGACTGGCGGTTATTTGAGTTACGTTTGAAAAGACTCTGTACTTGTCTATGATTGTCTGGGACATCAATAGTTATTCTGTTCGTCTGTTTATTCGTCGATCTGAATCGTACACTAAACCAGTGGACCAGAAAGTCCCTCTTTTGCAATGTTTGCCTTTGTGATTTGATGTAATAGTTCTTGTACATTCACCCTGCTATGGCAGATATTCCAGATACTAGATGTTGATGGTGACGGCAAGATTACGTCACGTGACACAGACAAGTTTCCAGTAGAAATCAACAAGGTAATCCATTTTTTTCTCAAAGAAACCGACGCTCACCCTTATGGATGCACCCAATCAAATAAATTCCCATAAGCAACAGTGATAAATGTCCATACTTCAAAATTCTTGTTAAAAGGCTCAAAATTCTCACAGGTGTTCAGGCTGCACAGAAAAATGACGCCCATGTCATCTTTTATTTTCTTTCCAATTTTTGGTGGGTTGACTGAACCGATGACTTTTCGAGAAATTCTCACCCAAAGCAGACGACCCCTAAAACGAGTGATGTTTTCCAAAGTGGAAAAGTAGCCACCTTCAAAAACGATCCATCCACAACATGGCTAAATAGCGCCACTTTCTGGACCGATTGCATCCAAAATGCTCAGAATTGGAATCCCCAAGTCCGGGCCAGAGGTGTATTGTCATCAGTACTGATTGCCATATCTCTTCAATTTCCCAATTCTATGGCTCTCAGAACTCTCTAATATAGAAGAATTTGAGTGTATAACATTTATTCATGATCTCGGACGGATTTTTGGCCTATTTATTATTTACTTTGGTATATACTATTTACGCCCTTATTAGCTAAAATCACTTTTTTTAGAGGCCTACATCGACCTGGCCAACTTCATGGCGTCGCTCAGCTAAACTAAACTGATGAAAATGACGTGAGTTATGGCTAAAATCATAAACAAGTTACCAGTCCAATTGTTATGTTTTGATACGTTTTCAGCTTGTGTTTGCGTGGCATGTCGATTATTAACCATGATGGTTTATTTCCTACTTTTTGTGCTATAAAAATGTGACGTGACCGTTGGTGGCAGGCGCAATGTTTGTGGAAATGACAGTGGGTAGACTTAAACCAGTCCCACAGTCTATGCATTGTATTTTGTAACCCTGTGTAGAATTATGTGTCACGCGTTCTTGTTTCATACAACAAAATTCGAGAGAAAAAAACTCCCAAAGATATGACCAATATTCGTCTTTATTCATGTCCCCAGTTTGACCCCTTTTCCATCAATCTTGGGCAGAAGATGATGATCTTAGGCGATATCATTGACGGCCAGATTTCGAAACAAAAACAGGTAGGCTACGACGTTAGTATGGATCCTTGAAAGTGAATTGATAATCCTTGAAAAAGAATTAACAATACAATAATGTAAAATCAAAATTATTAAGTAAGAGGTTTTATGCATCTCATGTTCTCTTGTATTTTGCAGGATATTTTGAGAAAGTCTGAGAAAGATATCCCAGAAGATGGCAACACACCGTCACGTGACCACAGCAGCAAGTTCAGAGGAACCCGTGATCAGACTTCCATGCCTAATCAGGAATTGTAGTATATTAAAGAAGCTTTCCCCGCGCCACTTTGGAGATTAATCTCGAAAAATTGATGTTTTTTCAATTGCTATTTTAATTTAAAAAAAAGCTGTTCACTTTTGAATGAGTCATCGAACGACAAAAATACACGTAGGCCTACGTCTCATTACTGAATTATTCAAATTCAAATTATTAGCTGCTCAGACGATAATTAGTCTTTGTGCGCAAAATAAAAACCCCTTTTTATAGGGTTGTAGACGCCCAAAATCTCGATACAGTATTTTTTTCGGTAAAACAAAAAATATTAGTTGAAACTTTGTGAGGCGAAAATAAAAAATCAATTCTTTTAAGAGCTAGCATGGATAGCTTATAGGCCTATATGCAACATAATGCATTTTGAAGTTCTGTTGAAAATTTTAATAACTGTTACTTGCTATACTCTTGAACTCACAAACCCAGAGAGCACAATGCACCAAATGAGCCAAAACAAACATTACCATAAACAAGAAGAAAGGGAGAAAAAGTCTAACTATGGAGGATTCAGTGCGAGGGTCAGTCAAAGCTGTTGTAAATTTGAAGGCAGAATAAATTTGTTGTAAACAGAAAGTGATTAAAATATTCCCTTTGTAAACAAGGTGTATGTTAATTTTCTCATACGCGTAGGCCTTTGCTGGATATAACCCAATAATCCCTGACCGTAATAGCCCATCAATAACACTTCCGTTAACAAAATCCAAGTACAAAAGCTTTAAATGCGCCGTTAAAATGCATTATGGTTAAGGCGCGTAAGCATGCAAGTATACATAAGATGTACGTCTTTATCATGAATGCCCAGTAGTGAAATATGGTGTCTAGCACCCCCCCCCCATTTATTTTGGTCATTTCCCAAGGGCAGATACATAGACACCTTAATTTCAATTTACCAGCAAAACCGCAGATCTCAGTGCTTATCAATCGCGTGACATTGGAGATCTTCTTTTTTATCCTCACCTCAAAAGATTAAGTGTGAAAACAAAAATACCCAGAAAATATTGCACCTTTTTCTTCACTCTGATATCGGAAGGTTTCCCACATCATGCATAATTCATATTAGTCAGGGCGCCTGACTAAGTTTTTGCGAGAGATTAGCCAATTTTTCTGTGCCACATGGTCCCTTAATGGGTACTTGTGAGTATTTTAGAACCCAGTTTTACATAAGAGAACGAAGAGACACTTGTTTTCGGAACTTACATTCATATTTTGCGATGACACAATCAAGTCATTGAATGACTTGATTCTGTGTGTTTGGAATCATCGAAAAAGTTTGCTAAGATACCTTGTTCTCAGAATTTCAGAATCTCAGAAAAGTGACTGGACATCGCCGCACAAAGTTTGTACAGCAAAGAGCACCTACACCTAGAATGCTCCACCCATAGCATGTAAATTCAATTCACGTTAAGTTCATTATTTATCCCCAAAACACGACGGCATGGAAATGTCCACCAATCACGGAAGAGAGGGAAACTCCACGGCATTCAGTTTTGGAACAATCTTGTTGGGCCGGCAAGATCAACAATGCAGGGTAAAACCAACCTCGTCCCCAATGCTTACTTTATTTCCAACCTCGTTTCCAATAGTAAGCCCTGGATAGGAAACTTACTTCCTGTATCCTGATTAAATACCGCAATTTGCAAATAATGGGTTCATATCGTGTAGTTGGTGTTGTTATTTCCAACGTGCATTACGTGTTTTCACGATCATTGTAATTATAGCGTCCAAGCCTTCTCAATAATACTCCTTTTCTTTCCCGTTTGTTCATATTACTATAAAATGTAATACTGCATAATTAGCGGGCAAGATTGTAACATTTTAACTTAAAAAAAAATCGCGTTTTCATAACTCACGGCGTGATGAATTGATGCTGTTTTTACCCCAGACACCGCATACAAAACAAACGCTAATATGACGCACATGTAGGCAACAGACTATTCCTCATTTGCATACGTGTTCAAAAATCTTGCACATGCAGATGACCCAATACCAGGGTGAGAGAGGAGGTAGTGGTGGGCGCGTACTGCTCGAGGTTGGGGATAAAACCCTTTCCTTTTTCGAGGGACGATCGAGCAGCTAGGCAGCCACGCAGTTTGACGTGTATTAGACCCTGTCTCGATTGGTTTATAACCACAAATCGTAGCCCGAATGCGCTTAATTAAAAACAAAAACATTAAGTAAAAAATTGTGCTAAAAACTTTCGACAACGAAATGTAAAACAAATTTATAAAAATTAACTACAAATAAGATATGGAGATAATAACTAAGTTAAAAGTTAAAAGGGGGGAAGAAAGATTGATTATAATAAAAAACACGTACAAACAATGCATAATACTCTTAAATAGGCCTATGCTGACAAAATAATTTTAGTTTTTAATTAATTTTCGGCTCCCCTAGCAACGGGACGCTCTGTGTTTATACCACAGGTGGGATGTGTGACGTTAAATACGGAGGTAGTCCAGTATTTTCGTCACATTTATGGGACTGTTTTTTTTTTGTTGTGTGGCCTTTCTTTACGGAGGTATAGTCCAGTAAATTGGCCACATTTAGGTGGAAGTGTGGCCTTTATTTACGGAGGTAGTTCAGTAAATCGGCCACATTTATGGGGCAAAAACCAACCCCAATGTGTTGTCAGGATATAAGTTAATTTCTTGTGTTTTCGTTTGGATACATTTTCATGTTTTCTTTCAGCTTAATCCAAATTTATCATGTAGCCTAAATGACTGTTTATGAAATAAAAATAAAAATGGCAAAAAATGTTGCAACCTGACGCCACTTCAGCGGTTGTTCACAAAATCTATGGAGAGTCAAGAATTTTTTTCTAAGTATTTCCTAACAAAATTAGAAATGTTTCTCAGTCCCAGATTCATGTCTTATCATTATTTTTTGCAATGACTGACTTTCATTGAGATGATATATGAAGAAAAATGAGGCGTCGGGTTGCAACATTTTTGCCGAATATCCTACCATTTCAGCTGCAGCGCAACCATTTCTGAGCCACACTAGTGGGGCTAACATTTTACACATAAAACCTAGTATTAGTAATGCACAGGCGGCTAGACCTATCGAGTATAAATCAAACTTTCCTCGCTAATATTTCCATTTTTAACTTACCAAGAAAATAATGGTGAACCTTGTCATTCCTCGGAAACATTAGTGAGCAGCAAAGTGCAGATAATATTAAGTCAACTGCATCTTGCCAAATATGGCTAATTTATTTTATAATCAAAACAAGAGACATCACCCACTTGGCATCATTTAGCCATCTGTACGTATGAAACTGCAGTGTTTATTCCTTCAAAGTATATATTTTTTGCCGACCAACCAACATTCGGACCAAACTGTGGACCTCAGTGTTAAGCAATTGTCTTACATTGGAGACTTGTTCTTTTTGTCCTCATCATAAAAGATAGCACATTTAATGTACACCTTTTATTTAGTGTAAAAAATACCCCAGAAAATATTGCCCTTGTTTTCTCCGAGATACTAATGACCAATCACAAGGCTCCCCACTTCATGCATAATTCATATTAGTCAGGGCGCCTTGTGATTGGCCATTGGAAAATCGCCCACGTCAAACGAAAGATGGCTACCGTGCACGTGCGGTGTCTTCGATAGAAGTGAATAGCGGTGAGTTTTATTTTTTAAAAAATATTCGGGTTTTTGCCAGAGTTTGGCCAATTCTCTTGTATCACATGGTCCCTTAATGTGTCAAGAATCCTCGGGGACCTTGTGAGTTGAAATTCTAGCTGTAATTCCAGCGTTTGGCAGCTTGAAATCGTGGACTGTTGTCTTTACGTGGTGGCGTGGCCTTAATTATTCCGCAGTGGCTATCGTTACGGCAGCCGTAACGCATTTCCCATTTTCTATCGTTACGGTAGTAGTACTGCAACTTTTATAAAAACATGAGAATAAAATATAAAATTAGAAGGAAAAAATTGAATTTGAACGTTATGAAATTCGGACTTTAGGCCTATTTCCCTTTTATAAAAAAATCGGTAATCCTTACTTTTAGGACAATGTAGGACACCTCTATTTTTTACGAGTTCTGTTCAAAACTGACTTTTGCAGATGACTGCCAGTACCAAAGTGACTTTTGCACGCTAAAGCAGTCTTTTTTCTTCATATAAACTCATGTTAGTTGTAATTTTGAAAGCACTTTAAAAGAAAAAGTGACTTTCCTACCTTTTTTCGCAGTCAGACGTCATGTTGTAGTTCTCACAACACAAGTGAAAGCCTTACATAATGAAAGCCCGATGCTGATTGGCTGCTAAAAAAATAATAATAAGATGTTTATTTTTTATCAGCCAATCAGCATCGAGCTTTCATCGCATCGAGCTTTCACGTTTGCCATCTTGGTTTTTTTTAGTCTGTTTTCTGGTTGTCATCGTCGCCCTTTACCCCCGAATTTCCCTCACAAATCAAAGCTCTGCCCTCTTTCCACAAAATTAAACCTGCTAAATATTCAAGTAGGTGTCATTGCCGATTGTTCAGATGTGCCAAGAAATATCAGAATGTCAATTTTGAGTGTCATTTAGTCAACTGTTTTGGTGAGTCTTTCCCTTCCTATATATAGTCGTGTTCCCTAACGTGGCGCACTTCGAAGCCTACCCGACTTTCCTCGTGCAGTGTTGCCAAACCTCAAATTCATGCAGTAAAACACTAGTATTTTTACCTTATTAATGCTTGCTATTTAACCTCTGTGAACAATTTCAGTTTCATAAAATTGAATCCGAAATTCAAAAACGGTGGCGTCCGGAAATTGGGCACAAATTGGCGGAGTGTTCCCTAACGTGGCGCACTTGAATAAATCTCGGAAAATTCCAATTTAACCTTTAAGAATTTCTGTAAACTTGATAAATTCTGATAAACAATTATTATCTCTACTTACATGCCCAGCCAGATGTTTGTCAGAAAAATATTTTCTTATTTTTCGGGGCATTTTTAAAGGGTTCACTTTGCACTTGAAAATAAAATCGGAAAATCACGCCAAAATAAATTGTTCTTCTAACTTTGTTACCGGTAAATAAACTCGCGATTTATGAAGAGGAGTGTTTAGAACTTGATGAAATTTCACTTTCTTGGAAATTTCAGTTAAAACTTTTGCTCTAGGTAGGCGCTACAGGCGAAAAATCAAAGTGCGCCATGGTTAGGGGCCGCGCCACGTTAGGGTACATCAACAATATAGGAACGGGGTCATAAAAGTAAGGATTACCAAATTAAAAACCTGCCCTCTTTCCATGACATTCATGTTGGTTTTCAACATAGGTCATAGCTATTTTATTTAGGAGTCTTAGAAGTGGATTTTTGTTCTACGATACAGCAGATAACCAAACTTGTGACCAAAATTACACTATAAAAATTCCGAACTTGTTGGGGTTGGGGGTGCATGCACAACAGAGCAACCTCTCCTCCCTAGCTCTATCCCCATCAAAAAGATTGGTTTTTTTCCCCTTTTATTTTCATTTGATTAAGTCTTTATAACAACAGTGTGTGATAAAACGCCTCATACTAAGCAACAACTTGCACCCCCTACCTGTCGCCCAGGTTGTCAAGCCTGCATTCATCCCAAAACTCTGTTTTTGATA